GAAGGTAACTGCTCCCATGGGCCAGTCACTTCAACAGGCCTCAGTTCTTTCTCCTATAAATGGGAACAACCCTTGCCATCTCTACCAGGAGGGTCAGGGTGGTGAAGGCAAGGATTTCTGGAGGGGAAGTGGGCAAAGGCTCCTCTCTAGTTCCCCCGTCTCAAAAACCTAACCACACGACAGAATATATGTGTCAGGGACACAGAAACTGGCTCTGAAACGAGCCGAGAAACACTCGGAGAATCATATACTAAGTGCCCAACTACCCAAAGAGACTCCTTGGAAGGTGCCACAAGAGGGTACTTCCAGAGAGAGAAAAGAGTGACAAGAACAAGAGGGAAGGAGCAGCTAGAGAAGATCAAGGATGGAGCGGGGAAGAGGAGAGGGAGAGATTGGGAAGACCATACCATCCTTCAGTTTCTCGTCCTGGGGGAAGGGCCCATCTGGGAGCACATCTGCAGCAATGAGCACTGTCCGGGAGTCCTCCAGCACCTGAGGGAACCCCACCTGGGCTGAGTGGCTTTGAAAAGGTCTTCCCAGACCGGCCCCAGCCCCATTTACTTCAACCCTACTTCAGATCTTCTGTGAGGGGCTTCCCTGGTGGTGCAGTGGTTAAGAACCTGCCTGCCAACGCAGCGGACACGGGTTCGAGCCCTGGTCCAGGAAGATCCCACATGCCGCGGAGCAACAAAGCCCGTGCGCCACAACTACTAAGCCTGCGCTCTAGAGCCCACGAGCCACAACTACTGAGCCCGCGTGCCACAACTACTGAAGACTGTGCTCTAGAGCCCGTGCTCTGCAACAAGAGAAGCCACCGCAATAAGAAGCCTGTGCACTGCAATGAAGAGCAGCCCCTGCTCGCTGCAACTAGAGAAAGACCGCGCATAGCAAGGAAGACCCAACGTACTCCAAAATAAATAAATAAATAATAAAATAAATTAATTATATAAAAAAAAAATCTTCTGTGCATGCGCTTCCCCCTCATTGAACACCATCCCCTTGGGGAACTCCTATGCATCCATCAGTGCCCAGATCAAAGACCAGGCCTGCCATGAGCTGCCCCCTGCCTGCATGCACCTTAAAGAGCCCCTTGAGCATGACATCAAGGATCTTGTACTGCTGGTGGACATCATTCAGCTGTGCTAGGTTTTTCAGCGCCAACAGCTGCTCCCGCCGCTTCACCTCAAACATCTTCTTGTCTGAGCAGCATTAAGTTAAGGAACTGGCACCAGTTGTCCTGCCTGGATAATCCAGTGGTCCCGATCGAGAGGGCCCACCCTGGCCAGCAAGTCTCTGCCAGGGGCATAGATGTGCATGCCTGGGACTCCCCAGGGAACGGATACACTCTCCGAGAAGCATATGAATCCTGCAACATATCATTCATCCACTTCACAGAGGATTCCACACCCGACAACCTGAATACAACCCTCAGGACCTGGCTCCTGCCCTCCCCTCCCCGTAGTCTTTCCCCAGTCTCCTACAGCCACTCACTGCTCCCAGAACCTCCACCCCTCTGCTCACACTGTATACTCTGCCTGGGGTGCCCCCCACCCTTCTCTATGAGTTTCTATTCTTTCAAGACCCAGCCCTTGGGTAGGCAGCCCAGTATGCCAGGGCTTGGTCTCCAGCCAGGGTCTCACCCAAAATGAATGAGGCACATGTACAATCCTCAAGAGTCCTCATGGCTCTGAGATATATGCCTTGTCTTCTCAATTTAACATATGGGGAAACTGAGGTTCAGAACAGAACTGACTTGATCAAGGTCTGGTTAGAGCACCTTACTTTTTCTCCCCTGTTCCTATTAGGGGGTTCTGCTCCATCCCTGGAATCTCCCAAGGGGTTGTGGGTATAGAGAAACCTCATTTATAGACCCCTCAAAAACACCTCCAATCCCAAAGGATACAGATCTCCAGGCTTGGGTCCAGGGAGGTCCTCAGGGTGTCTGTGACTCCTGTCCCAGACAGTAGCAGGACAGAGAGGAAGGCCAGGAACTGAAGAAGGTCCATATCCAAGACTCTGGAGCTAGGGGAGTAACCCAGAGAAAGAAGGTGAGACCCAGAGCTTGGTGTTATATGAAACAGAAAGTGAGTTGAACAGCAACTTCCCCTGATAATGACACAGCCTCCAAACACCAAGAACCCAGCTTTGGGAAGCCCTGGAGCCCCAGTTCCTAGCCCAGGGCCAGTGACCAACAGACACAAAATAAAGACATGGGATGATAGGAGGGAGGGAGAAAGATAAAGTCAGCAAGGCAGGGATACTTAGAGAACAGGGATCAACGCCTGGAACCCTGCACTGGAGCTCTGGCTCTGCCTGACTTCAGGACCTCGGGCAAATTGCTCAGCCTCTCTGAGCTTCATCTTCCTCACTGCAAAATGCGGATAAGAAGTCATCTCCCTGTTGCAGAGACAGAAGGCTGGGTGAGGCACTGTGCCTGAGGAAGGAGGGCCTGGTCAATATCATTGCCTCTCAATTCTCCATCCTGGCCTCTCAGGAGGCCCAGGCAGTCAGAGATGTGAAACTTTTGGGGCTTCCCACCTTTCCTGACTTCTGTCATCAGAAAGGAAGAAGGGGTGCAGGCTGGGAAGGGAGGCAAGACAGTCTTGGGATAAGACGGCTGTTATTCTCTTAGGAACCATAGGAACCACCTATGTTCCTATGGAACCATAGGAACCACCTATGTGGGATAAGACGGCTGTTATTCTCTTAGGAACCACCTGTTCCTATCTAGGCAACATTCCCCAATTACCTACTGAGTACCTGTCACGTTCCAAGCACTGTTCTAGAGCCGGGAATACGGCAGTGACAAACAAAATTCCCTGCACACTGGTACTTTCATCCCTAGTAGGGTTAAGAGAAACCAATGAAGTTGTAAAACAAGCACAGAAAGATAAGAGGGAGTCAGCAAAGTGCAATCTTAAATACAGTAGTCAGAGGCAGCCTCTACTCAGATAATAGCTGCCCAGTTTTACCAACGTGGAGACCAAAGCACAGAAAAAGGAGGAGACTGCCCAAAGTCACTCATGGGTTCTCAGGCTAAACCAAGAGTCTTAATAAGCACAGGCTATCTCAGAGCTGGCCACTGTTCTATTAGGACACCTAGGTGTGTCCCAGAGATGCTCAGTTATTGACAGTGAGACCCCACACAGATCAACCAGAGAACCGCCCCCATCCCACGCTGATGAGACAACTGAAGCCTAGAGAATGGGAAGAAACAGTTCAAGCTCACCCAGAGCCCTTACCTTCCACCGTCACGCTCCAGACTCAAGGGAACCAAACACTGGTTAAGGCAGAACTTGGGGTCAGGGGAAATCAGACAGCCGGTAATGACTGAAGCAGGAAGAAGTGGGAAAAGAAAGCCGAAAAAGCGGACTGCGTGAGGCAGATCCTGCTGTCTCTACTGTTACTCCCATTTATCCGCCTCTCAATCCCGCTCCCTGCCCCATGAGTCCCCAGAGCTCTTCCCGGCTGGGCGTGCGACTCCGAGGCCATTCTGCAGAGGTGGCTTGGTGGTGGATCCTGAGCCGGCAACCCGGGCTCGGAGACAAGGGTCGCTGCCCCTAGCCTTTAGAGCTCCGGGAAGAGAAAGTCTTTCTAATGAGAAGAGGCGTCCGGGTCCGCGAATCCCAACCCCCACCCTGTGCAGCCAGTTCTGGGCCCTCGGTCCCTCCCCCGCCCCCCCCCCCCCGGGAGCCTGCCCGCCCGGCGCCCCCGCCCCCACCTACCAGGCCGGGCGGGTGGGTGGGCGGGCGGACAGGAGTCAGCGTGCGCCTGAGGGTCCGCAGACGACCGGCAGAGGCGCAGAACCTCAGTATCCCAGAGAAGCCTCGCAGGAACTGCCAAGCACCGCCCCCGCCCAAAGATCGCGGGCCGCGACTACCGCTCCTTGACCTAACTTCCGGCCCCGCCCAGTAGGCTCCAGCGCTAGCCCTGCCCAAGGTCCGTGGGAATTCGGTCCCGCCCACCCTGCGTGGCGGCTTGCGCACTTGCCGCGTTGAGGTGTGGTTGGAGGAGATAGTCAGCCTGCGGTGTGTGTCGGACGCATCAGCAATGAGGCCCTGAGCCCTGCAGGCTGGGCGGCCTCCCCAGCGCCCTCCCCGAAACTGTTTCGTTAGCTGAGTGTTTTTTATTTTTTTTTTAATATTTATTTGGCTGCACCGGGTCTTAGCTGCGGCGCGTGGGATGTTTAGTTGCATGTGAGAACCTACTTCCCTGACCAGGGATCAAACCCCGGCGCCCTGCATTAGGAGCGGGGAGTCTTAGACACTGGACCACCAGGGCGATACCAGCTGCGTGTTTTTTAAACTGCAGTTGTCAAGATCAGTTTAGTGGGTCGTGGCTAACACTTTTTTCTTTTTAAGTAACGTGCAGTGCAGAGTTGGGGCATACCCTGCTCGCCCCTCGGATCCACCAAGTTCTAACCCAAGTTCGTGGGTTCCTTCCCTGTCCTATCATTAGGACGGAGTTCAGCCCAGTTTTGTGTAGGGTCAGTCCAGCCAGACCCAAGGGCTAGCCAAGTACAGGCACCAGGGCCCTGGCAGACAGGCAGGAAGGGAGTTAAAGGCCCTGGTGAGCTGAGCTCAGAACACGTGCGGGCAGTTGTGGAGGGCAGACATTGAAAGACGTGTGTGCACAAATACATGCTCTGAGGAGAGCCGGGAGAGAAAGGAACACTGGGGACCTACTTTAGCCAGGGAAGAGCTGAGCTGGGCAGTTTCCCTCAGCTAGGAAAGCTGAGGTTTTGACCTGCTCACCTTCCTTGCCTGGAAATTGTACCTCTCTCCACTTTCACCTGAGGTGAAGCAGCAGGTAAAGTACTTCCTAGAGCACTTGGACCACAGCAGCACCAAACACATGGCCTTTCTCTGCCCCTTCTGCCCCAAGGATGGCCTGACTGACGTCTTCAACTGAGGTAACCAGCTGGTGTTAGCAGAACAAATCCCTCCCCTTCTCTCCCTGAGGCCATCCATCCTGGCTGAGGAACCAGCTGGAGAGAGCCAAGGTAAGTCCAAAGGGAAATGTTTTTGGAGAGCCCACACAGGCATCTGAGTATATCACTATTTCCTATTTCAACAATGGAGTAAATGGCTCCAGATGCACGGCTGCAGTTGTCATCCATTTCCCCCAAACCAGTGTGCCCTGACTTTGTCTTCTCCAGGTCTCAGTTCTGTTTCTGGGCCTTCAGGTCCTGAGATCAGTCTCTGATGTGGGACAGGGATACAGCCACTCCTCCCAGGCAGCTGGCAGCAAACATGAGAGGAGAATAGCAGAGAGGTGGGGCCAGCCATGGGAGAACCACACTTCCAGGGCCCAAAAAGGCAAAAACAGACAAGAGCAGAGGTGCACCTGAGAAGAGTGGGATGGATTCTAAAACTGGGACCTGAACACCTGGGCTGGGTAGTTGCTATACATCAGGGAACGTTCCATGGAAAGGGTTAGGAGGAGAGCCAGGGAGGCCACACACACACCTCCAGACCACAGGGTCTCTGGAGCACCCCAACAACCCCTCAGAGGGCCAGTGAGCACTGCCCACAGCCCCAGGCTTTCTCAGGGATGTGCCAGTCACCCAGCACCCTCCCCCACCGTGTTGTGCTTAGGGCAGCATCTATGCCAACCGGGCTTGGGCAACTTTCTCCAAAGCTCCTGGGGAAGGACTACCTCCCTTCTGAGTCTGGTGATATGACTTTGGAGATGGTCATGTCTGGGGTCAGATCCTGATGCTATCACTGTGTGATTCTGGGCACGTCATTTAACCTCTCTGAGCTAAGTTACAACTGTGTTAACACTCGTAGCTACTGTGAGGATTAGATACAGTGCATGTAACATGACTGGCCCTCGGTAGGAACTTAATAAACAGAGCAAGTCATTGTCCTTGCTACCACTGTTAATTCTTCTCGCTGACCCCTGCTTGCCGTAGAAGACAGGGCTGTAGACAGTGCAACTCTCTGTCCTGAAGCATGACGTTATAGCTTCCCATTACCTGGGTGACCCTGCTCAGGTCAAAGCTCCCAGATGCAAGAAAGGATACATCATGTCCTGTAGGGGCGGCTGGGCCGTGGAGGCCCTGGGGGAAGGACCCTCCAAGGAGGCCTGCAGGGTCTGGGCCATGCTATGATCAGCCAGGAGGCCCATGCTCTGGACCTGCGGGGAGAAGAGGGTAGGGAAGACAGGCTTTCTCAGTGCCCACTCCATAGAGGCCCTCTCTACCCTCCACCCCCTGCACTCCTGACCTCCCACTGGCTGCTGTGGCTAGAGCTCCCCACCTCCACAGGGAAGATGATACAGAGGGTCTGGCCTCACAGTGGCTAAATAGCATCCCCTTTCCACCCACCTGCAGAAAGAAGCCACGCAGAGCCTGGAGTGTGGTGCTGGAGAGGGTAGAGAGGTCAGCCAAAGCTGCGCCTTGCAGAACATGGCCCACCTCTTCACGAGAGAGGATGCTGCTGCTCCGGAACCGCACAAACTGGCCCAGGGAGAGAAGGCCCAAACATGTAGTGATTCGGCATCTCCTTCATTCACAGGTATTTGCTGTGCCCTGCTGGGCTCAGCACTGGGCTGGGGGCATGGATCTGAAGCCCACAGAACTCTGCCTTCAAGAGCTCAGTGTTGGTAGGCAGGGGTGGGGTTGTGTCACAGGAGAGTGAGGTAATGAGGAGGATTGCAAGACCCTGAGAGTTTGCTCTGCTGACCCCTTCAGTCCCGCCACTCCTACCCTGCCCCTCACACTAGACTATGTGTGGTTACCCAGACACACCACCACATTCTCGTATATCTGCTGTTCTCACTTCAATACTGTACCTGCAATACTTTTCCTTCTCTTTGCCTATTAATCCTTCAAGCCTCAGCTAAAATGTTACCTTCACTGCTGAATGTTTTCATTTTATTAAAGAAATACAGGCATTAACTGGGTGCTTACTATATTCTTACTCACTTCTCCCTCACAGCTCTGGCAGAAGCAATTACTCTTTTCTCTGGGTTCCTACACCAACCATTGATTTATTCATTGATCCACTTTACTATCATTCACAGGCTTGCTGCCTTGTTTATTCAGTGGGCACTTACCATGTTCTAGGCACTTAGCATTATCTTCTACTCTTCCATTAATAACCATATTTTAACTATGAATTTCCTTGTCTATCTCCTTCTCTAGACTGAGGGACCTTTAAGGAAGAACATTTGGCTCACTGACATCTTTGGTACCTAGCACAGGATCTGGCAGGTGGTGGGCAGGCCTGGTCAATGTTTCATGAGTGAATGAGAAAGAATGTCTGGGTAGTCTGGGCAGAGGAGATGTGGGCATTCAGAGGAATTCCCTCGGCAGGCTTCTTGTAGGGTGAAGGCTCATCCAGCCCCTCTACCTTCTTGGAGGATGGCATTCTTCAGACCACAGGACCATCCTTTCTGCACTTACCAGGGTCATGAGCCTCAAGATCTCAGCTCTGAGGAAGGAATTCTCTCCAGCATCCAGGAGGGTAAATAGCAAAAACCGATTCCAGGGCTGGGAGGCCACATGGAGTGCTATGGGAAACACCAGTCAACCGTGTGTTGTTAATGCTGCTTTTCTAAAGGCCTTGAAACATTGCTAAAGAAAACTTTCTCCTATTGGCTCAAAAAAGGGTTGCTCAGCAAAGGCAGGGCATTGGACAAGCTGACCCCAGGGCGTTTCTTTCTCCTGGGCTTCTATCCACCCATGCTGCCTGGCACAGGGAGACCACATATCCCACTATTGTGGGAGGCAGGCAACAGGAAGAGCTCTGCCACTTAAGAGCTATGTGACCTTGGTTGGGGCAAGTTGCTTAACCTCCCTGAACCTCGGTGTCCTCATCTGTATGATGGGCATGGTAGTGCCCTTGCAGTATTGTTAAAAGAATTAAACAAAATGAGTGTGAATCAGGGAGCTCCCTGGTGGCCTAATGGTTAGGATTCTGGGCTTTCACTGCCATGGCCTGGGCTCAATCCCTGGTTGGGGAACTGAGATCCTGCAAGCCACATGGCTTGGCCAAAAAAAATGAGTGTGAATCATAGAACAGAGGATGGGAGTCTGGGGTGGGAGGGTGGCAGGTGCTGGCCCCGTCCAATCTCCCCCATGGGAACATCAGAGAATGGGGAGGGTTTCTACCGACGTCTGGACTCCGGGCATGCAGGTAGTCAAGCAAGGCCTCCAGGCAGCCAACACAAGCGTGGGACAACAGAGGGTCCTTCTGCAAGAAAACAACAAAAACAAAAACCCCACAGAAGTTCACGTCCGGTTTTGCTACCAGTGGATTTTGGTGCCAACCAAGAAAAAAACATTTGGTTTTCAAAACAATTTAGATTTCAGAATTTCAGATTTGGGATTGTGGCTCTGTAGATAATCAAGAAATGTTTGTTGGTTTCATCTCTCACCCACACACACAAAGCACGGTGCTTATTATACTGATGATTTACCTACATTTGAGAGACTGTTTTGCTTCAGAAAAGGATGGGCCCTGGGCCCCATTAAGAGATTCACAGATTACAGATTCTGTAAGAGCCACACAGTTTATCTAAGCCAATGCATGTAAATCTTTTTGTAAAGCAGCAGAACCTTTCATCAAACAAAATTTTATGCTCTAATAAGCATAAGAAAAGAACTTAGGGTTAGGGAGATGCAAATTAAAACCACCTTGAGATACCACTACACACTCATCAACAGCTAAAACTGACTGACAGTACCAAGTGTTGGCAAGAATGTGAAGCAATTGGAACTCTCATGCACTCCTGATGGGAAGGAAAAATGGTGCAGCCACTAATGGCAGTCTGATGGCTTTTTTTTTTTAAATTAATTTATTTATTTGGCTGTGTTCGGTTGTCGTTGCTGCACACGGGCTTTCTCCAGTTGCGGCGAGCAGGGGCCACTCCTCATTGTGGTGCGCAGGCTTCTCATTGTGGTGGCTTCTCTTATTACGGAGCACGGGCTCTAGGCGCGCAGGCTTCAGTAGTTGTGGCACGCAGGCTCAGTAGTTGTGGCTCATGGGCTCTAGAGCTCAGGCTCGGCAGCTGTGGTGACAGGCTCTGTTGCTCCGTGGCATGTGGTTCTTCCCAGACCAAGGATCAAACCCGTGTCCCCTGCATTGACAGGAGGATTCCCAACCACTGTGCCACCAGGGAAGTCCCAGTCTGATGGTTTCTTATAAAGTTAAACATACACTTACCATATGTGGTAGGCAGAATTTTAAGATGGTCCCATGACCTTTGCTCCCAGATGTTATTCCCGTGATTAGGTTACATTACATGGCAAAAGGGAGATTGTTTGGGTGGGCCAAATCTAATTACACCAGTCCTTTAAAAGCAGAGTTTTCTCTGGCTGGTAGCAGAAAAAGAACCAGAGAGTCCAGAAGTGTGAGAAGGACTCAACATGCATTGCTGGTTTGAAGATGGAGGGGCTGTGTGAGAAAAAATGTGTGTAGCCTTAAAGAGCTGAAAGACCCACCCACCCCCAACAGGAGGATGAAGTGGATTCTTTCCCAGCTCTCCCAAATAAGCACCCAGCCTGACCAATACCTTGATTTCAGCTTTGTGAGACCCTAAGCAGAGAACCTGGTCGAGCCCACCCAGACTTCTGACGTAGAGAACTGTCAGATAATAAATGGGTGTTGTGTTAAGCCATTACATTTGTGATATGTAGTTACACAGCAATAGAAAACTAATATGTCATTTGACCCACCAATCCCACTCCTAGGTATTTATCCAAGAGAAATAAAAATGGATATTCACAAAGACTTGTACTCCAGTCTTTATTCATGATAGCCAAAAATCTTTAAGTCCCAAATATCTGTCGGTAGGTGAGTGGATCAACAAATTGTGGAATAGCCACATAAGGGGCTACTACTCACCAATAAAAAGAAATGAAGTACTGATAACACAATATAAATGAATCTCAAAAGCATTAAGCTAAGTGAAAGAAGATAGACATATAAGACCACATACTTTATTTATGTGGAATTTTATTTTATTTTTTTAATTTTATTTATGTGGAATTTTATTTTATTTTTGTGGAATTCTAGAAATGGTAAAACTGTAGTGCCAGAAAGCAGATCTGTGTTTGCCAAGGGTCAGGGATGGGGAGAGGGGACTGACTAAACAGGGGTCCAAGGGAACTTTTTGTTGGTGATGGAAATCTATACCAGGATTGTGGTGGTGTTTACAAAACTGTATATGTTTGTCAAAACTCATCTAGTTGTACATTTTAAAATCACTGAATTTTATTGCATGTAAGTTATATCTCAATAAAACTGATTTTTTAAAATGTAAAGACAAACTAACAACACCAACAAAAATCCTATGCTCTCCTCATGCTATTTTTTGGAAGGTAGCAACCTGGAGGTTAACGTATGGGGCAGACTTGGGTTTGAAGCCTTGCTTGGTCACTTACCATCTTGTGTGATCCTGGCCAAGGTTACTTGATTTTGCTAAGTGGGGATAAAAGGATTACTTGGGCTGCCAAGAGGGTAAGATGAGCAATGCATACAGAGGGTTTAACCAGTGCTTGGCACAGAGTTAACACTCAAAAAATGGTGACTATACTGAAGGAAAAAAAAAAAAATCAGTTCGAAATTAATCCCAGGCAATGACTTGTTTATTTATGTATTTATACTATACAGGTAAATCATAGGATAAATATTCTTCCCACTGTTTAAAATTCTACTAAGATCCTATACTAAAATAACTCTGTTATATTTTTTTAAAAAATGGTGAATATCTTAGTGAAACGTATAATAGGGGAAACACTATCGCTCTTTAACAACCCCTAAGTCTCCTTCACAGGATCCGTAAGGTCTTTAAGACCTACAGTTTGAAGTGGTTGAGCTAATTCACTAACCTCATTTTACAGCTGAGAAAACTGAGGCCCAGAGAGAAAATACTTGACCTGAGGACACCTGAGTGGTAGGTGGCAGGTCTAGAAACAAACCCTAGGCCTTGTGCCCTTTCTCCTTCTCTAATCTAAAATTAACTCTTAACCAGTGGGCACTTCCACCCTTTTCCCAGGTACCTAAGATTAGCCAGTTCAAAAGTAACCTCTCCTGTGGAGCCTTCCTTGATTCAAATAATAGGTCATTTTGCCATTAATTATAATTTCTTGTGTTTCCTGCAATCTGTGGGTGCTTAAATGGCTGAAACAGCATCATATTCATTTCTGCGTCCTCATTCACTCATTCAACAAACATTACTGAATGCCAATTCTGTGGGAGGCTTTATGCTGGGTATTGAGTATAAGGGAATCATTTTCCCACTCTCTGTTTTGAATATTAAAACAGGAACTTCAGGGCTTCCCTGGTGGTGCAGTGGCTGAGAGTCCGCCTGCCGATGCAGGGGACATGGGTTCATGCCCCGGTCCGGGAAGATCCCACATGCCGCGGAATGGCTGGGCCCGTGAGCCATGGCCGCTGAGCCTGCGCGTCCGGAGCCTGTGCTCCGCAACGGGAGAGACCACAGCAGTGAGGGGCCCGCGTAACGCAAAAAAAAAAAACAAAAAAAAAAAACAAAAAACAAAAAACAGGAACTTCAGCCCTTTCAGAAACATTGGAGAGAAAGCATTTGCCCTTCCTCCCACCTCTAACTGGCTTCTCCTCACCCAACGAGAGATTTATCTAACAAGTGAGATGCTAGCTTAACACCTACTGAGCCATCAGGGCAGGACTAAGGTATTAAAGGTCATGCTCCCAGGAACTCAGACTCTTAAGATCTTGGCCAGCTGGCTAAGTGTCCAACATGGACATTATTGGAAATGCAAACACAATTTACCTGCCTATGGGCTCCCGGTCTGGCCCAAGGGAAGGAGGGTAGTTAAAAAATCCTTTTGGATAAGATATGATAAAGCAAGCATAGTAAAATGTTAATGGAAGAATGTACATGGTGGGTATATGAGTGTTCACTGTAAAATTCTTTCGTCTTTGCTGTATGTTTGAAAAATCTCAGACTAAAAAAAAGCCCGTTCCGACCTTAAGTCCCAGCTACATTCTACTATGGTGTTTGTCAGCAATAAAGCTGATGCTTTGGTTCTCATTTGATTCGTGATTTCCCAACTGGATTTGAACCCACAAGGGGAAGGAGACACAAAGATTAACCAGACACAGTCCCTTCCTCTGAGGAGCTCACAGCCTGGGGAAGACCGATATGAAAATGGGAACTCACAACAGAGAGAGATAAGTGCTATACGTGATAGAGGTCTGATCCATGAAGAGCACAGAGCCTTTGAATAGATGTGCTGGCAGGACAAGACACGGCATCCGCACAGCGCCCACTTCAGGAGCCTTCTCTACATCCTCACATTTCCCCACTTCCCCCAACCTGTGCACAGGCCCAGTGGGGATCAATCCTTGAACATAATCTCCCACAATCAACAGCCATATCAAATATGTCTGTCATTATCTGGGCGGCCAGCGGAGACCACTCATATCAAGGCCCCCCCCCCCCCCCCCCCCCCCCCCCCCCCCCTTCCCGGCCCCCCCCCCGGACCCCCCCTATCCAGCCCCCCCCCCCCCCCCCCCCCCCCCAGGAAGTCTCTGCAACTCCTCTCACTCGTTTGCTGGCTGCCCCCACCTCCCTCTTCTTGCCCATGATGCCTTGCCATCAGACCAGACCACGTGGATCTGTGACCGTCGGTCTTGGGCAAGCTTTAAGGAGCAGGAAAAGAGAGTCCAAGTCTAACTAAAACAGCATAAACATCTGGGGCCTTGGTCACCCTACAGTGACCAGCTCATATTTGAAAATAACAGACAATAAGCTCCTTGAAAGAGAAGAAGGTCTCAGGGAATCATGGGTGGGAATGGGCCAGAGGGCCAAGGACAGGGAATGAGTCCATATCAGAGGACGAAATTGTGCTGCCATCAAGATCAATCCCATCTCTGATGCCCCCTACCCTCGGGGACCTAGGACAAGTCACTTGATATTTCCAGCCCAGCTCAAGCACCTCCCCCAGAAAGTCTTCTCTGACAGCCAGCCTCACAGTCGCCCTACACCAGCCTGTAATGTACGTCCTGTGCCCCCACTGTGCAGTGCTTCCCTTCAACCCAGCACTGCCCACTCTGTGTTAGCACCTCTTATCCACATGGCACCATCCACCGCCCCCTGAAACTGTTAACTTCTCAAAGGCGGGAATCTGATCGATCTCCATGCCCCCACCACCCTTCACAGTATGTGACTGCTGGATAAACTATGATCTCCAAGAATCCTCTAAACTGTAAAACACAAACCCCTCTGAGGTGGACATCTACTGTTTTGCTTGTCCAGGATCCATTCCTCCTCCTTCTAAGAACAGTTTTCTCTTGCAGAACCATTCCTCTCTTATGTTTAGTCCACGTGAGTTAGGGAGAGCTGACCATATGCCCCAGCCTCCAGGAGAGGACACTCACCCAAGGCAGGTCAATCAGAGCATCCCATGTTTTGGGCATAGTGACTGCCACATTACCAAGCCAGGCTAATGAGACTCAATTCTGGGGGCTACGAGGAAAGAGGAACTTTCTTTCTGCTGGAAGGACATAAGCCAGGAGCTGCTGCTGGTCATCCTACCAATCCCATGAGAATAAAGCTGAGAGAGAAATGCAGAGCCAAGAGATGGAGACAGAGTTCTGATGACACTGTCTGAGCCTCTGGGATCCCAGCTGTGCCTGAAGCCAGTTTTGACCCCTGGACTTCTCAGTTATGAGACAATTTGAGTTTCATTTCTGTCACTGAAACTTTAAAACCAGTCAAACCTCTCTCTAGGCCTTAGTGGGAATACCAGGATCTTGACAGGCAGCCACCCCTTTCTGCTGTCATCCTGAGAGAAGCAGGCTCCACTGCCAGGGTCCCACTCCACAAAGGCCTTACCTGAACCAGGAGGTTCTGCAGTCCGATGACCAGGGACAGCACTTGTGATGTTCCCAGTGGAGCCAGGACAGTGTCCTCAGGGGCTGGCGGTGGCTGGGTCCCTGAGGGCAGCAGAGCAACCAGGGCAGAGGAGAAGCTTTGTTGCAGGGCTGTCCGCAGGAAGCGTAAGATGGCAGCTGAAAGTAGAAAACGCCTTACACCCAGTTCTTGCCTCATTCCCCACCTCCCCACCAGCGCTGTCATGGGGAAGACCACGGGGATAATAAAGGGGTGACCGCGGACTGGTCTGGGTGGGGTGGTCTCATCTCAGAATCTAGGGGAAAGGTTTTTCCTCTCCTGCTAGAGGCCCTTGGTCCCACACCTGAGAGCAGCGCAGCCTTTTTCTTCGGAAAGCTGAGGGCCTTCAATACTTGGTCCAGTTCCACAGACAGTGTCTGATGAACCTGGCAGGGCAGAGGGTAAAGGGATAACCCCCACATTCTGGGAGCTTGGGCAGAAAACCACCTGCTACAATATCTTTTACCCCCCCTACACATACCCGCTGCATCCAGAAGGACAGAGGAGGCCACACAGAGTCTTGTGAGCCTCACCGATCCTGGATTCAGGAGCTTGAGGAGGAAAATCAAGCCCAGACCTGGAGAACCCTGCTTCTCCCAAGTGTCCCCCATCCTCAGAGAGCTCCTGCACCAGGGAGTCTTCCCCAGCCTTAGCTGTGGGTCAGTCTCCTCTTGAGCCCACCAACCACCTAACTCAGATCTGGAGTCCAATGGCCCGGAATCAAAATCCTGGCTCTGCCACTTGCCAGCTGTATGGCCGTGGGCAAGTCACCGCACTGCACCTCTCTCAGCCTGCCTTACTTCCTTCACCTATGAAAAGGGAACAGTGCCACCTGCTTTCACTCTCTCCAGAGCTATCATGAAGAAGAGCTGAGGACCAGCATCGTGAATATGCTCCTTAATGTCAAAGCAATGACCATACTGAGGGGTTAGTTTGGGTGACAGGTTCAAAGCTGTGAGTCTGCTCTGCTCTCCTTACCCAGAACATACGCTGCCTGAAGGCAGCTTTTCCTCTACTTGGATCTACAAGTGCTTGGCACAAAGCAATTCCTCAAAAATGCTTGTTAGGGCTTCCCTTGTGGCGCAGTGGTTAAGAATCCACCTATCAATGCAGGGGACACGAGTTCGAGCCCTGGTATGGGAATATCCCACATGCCATGGAGCAACTAAGCCCGTGCACCACATCTACTGAGCCTGTGCTCTAGAGCCCGCGAGCCACAACTACTGAAGCCCGCGCGCCTAGAGCCCGTGCTCCAGAACAAGAGAAGCCACCACAACAAAGAGTAGCCCCCGCTCTCTGCAACTAGAGAAAGCCCGCGCACAGCAACAAAGACCCAACACAGCCAAAAAAAAAAAAAAAAAATGCTTGTTAGCTGGTGGAATTGGCAGGTTCCAGGCAGAAGAACCAACTTGTATAAAGGTATGGAGATGCCATACTAATCTAAGATGTAAACAGAGGAAGCTGTGTGTGGAGGTTATATGGGAACTCTGTGCTATCTGCTCAATATTTTTGTAAATCTAAAACTGTCCTAAAAATAATAGCTATTAAAAATCAACCAAAAACAAACAAAAAATGTACTGAGATGTGAAAGAGCACAGTTGACTGGGAGAAGAGCAAACACTTGGTCAGAAGACAGGAAAGGAGGGTAGAATGGCAGAAAGTAAGGCTGCAGAGGGGCCTGGTAGGAAGGGTCTCAGCAGCCATGAGGAGAACAAAAAGGCTGCTGAAGGACAGTGAGCAGAGGGTAAGTGTGGACAGACCGTGGCCATAGGGATAGGAGCGGTGGAGCAAGGGAGAGGCTGGAGGCCAGAAGATTGTGAATAGGCCATATCAGTGGTGAGGATGAATGATCAGGCCTGAACTAGGGCAGAGGGGAGAACGTAGAGTAGAGATAGTTACGTAATTGGCTAGTTATGAGCTGAGGGCCAGGGCAGAACCAAAAACAAGGTGCAGGCTTCCATCCAGGCAGGTGACTGCAGGGGGAGGGGTGGGCCCAATAGCCGCACATAGGAAAGTAGGAGAGGTTCCTGTCCCAAATCAACCCCATTGGCAACTAGCTGAAGATCTGCTATAGCGTAGATGTGCCACAGCTTACTGAAACCCTAGAGGCCAAACTTGAAAACTCACTTCACTTCTACACAAATGAGTGTGTGCCTGGCATTAGATTGGCACAGAGCTGGGCACAGTGTGAGGATACCTCAAAGGCTAGGAGATGGTTTCTGTCCACTAGGGGCAGCCAGCCTTAGGGAGGAAACACCTGACTGTGAAGCAGCCCACAGAGGAGCTCATGCAGGGCACTAGGATGACAAGGTCATACAAGAGGGAGGGGCTGCGAGGAAACGGGGTGCTCTGTGGATATGTCCATGGCCCTCCTGTTCCCTGCATCACCTTCTCAAACAGTCACATGACAGCTTACACAGTATGGCACTCACAGCTTGCCACCCACAACTTCAAGGTCACATGCTGGATTCTGCCTTCTTGTCCAGTCTGACAGTCCATTCCCTACACTCCAGCCACGCAGTACCTCACCACTCTTCAAATATATATACCAAGTCTTAAATTTGTGCAGCTTCAGGCCTGTGTTCATATCATTCTCTTTGCCTGGAGCACCCTTCCCCCCACTATTTTAGCCGGGTACAGTCTTGCTTACCTTTTAGGGCTTTGCTTAAAGATTACAACACAAGTTCCCCAAGTCTGGGGTATATACTGTATTCATTTTTTATTCCTCTGTGCCTAGAATACAGCCTGGCATGCAGGTGATCCATGTGTGCTAAATGGATTAATGTAAACCAACTTGACAACAGCCTTGAATGTTTTTTCCCTGTTTTGTAGGCAAGGAAAATGAAGCTCAGAGAGTTAAATACCTTGCCAAGGTTACACAACTACTAAGCCACAGATCTGGGATCAGAACTCAAGATCTTGTCACTCCTTGAGTGCCACCCATGCCCCAAAGCAACAGGGGTTAGAAACTAACCTGCAGATTGCCATCGTGCTGCTGGGCAGAGAAGGAGGCAGTGAGCAGCCAGGCGGAGCAGAGGAGCTCGGTCCTGGGGGAGCCCTCCTCAGCCCAGGTGAGGGCCAGCGTCTTCTCTAGAAGCTCTATCAGGGCCGTGCTGCTCAAGAGCACTGCAGCAGCTGTAGAGGGTTGGGCAGGGCAGGCGGTGTTTAGTTAGCACCCGATGGGTGCTTCATACACACATGGTGAATGAACAAAAGGATCAGTTTAAGGCTCTAAGTTCCATTTCGGAACCACAGGTTACTGGAACCAGAAAGAACCTTAGGACCATCCGATCCAGCCACACACCCCCTTTTTAATTTTTTTTAGATGGAAAAACTGAGGGCAGCAAGGGCCATAGACACTGCCCAGCACCCTTCCTCTTCACTATGCCAGCCCAGGCCCCAGCACCTCTTTTCTGACTGCTCAGCGTGGTCTGATGAAGGCTCCAATACAGGAAGTTGAAGGAGGGCTGCAGGATGTCCGTGTCAGTGGGACTGCATTTCCCACACAGCTTGCTCACTGCAAGAGATGAGAGTGCCCTGGAGCCCCAGTGCTCAGCACTCCATGGCTTTAGCACACACCAGCACTCACACACACTTCTTACAGCTAGTGGCCCTCAACTGGCTAATTTCAGATGTCAGTCTTGGGGACCAACCACAAACTAAGCACCCCTGATATTACGGCCAGTGGAAAGAAACAGTGACAAACCCGAAGGTATGTTCACACCCTCCACCTGAACAAACATCAGGCAAGCAGCCCACAGCTGCACATTAGAACAGACTGCACAAGTGTAGGTGGTCAAAAGGCATCCTATGAGAGCGCTCATGCCAGCACAGACTCCAGGTTGGAGAGTCTGCAGAGGTCATATAGGCCAACCTGCCACCATCAGCAGAAAGAAGATCCAGTCTCTGAATTCTTCCAGCAACAGGGCACTCACCACCTTCACAGGGGAGCTCTGTAACCGTCAACGTGCAGTTCCCTAAACTTGCCGTATTCTCTCTCTCACATCACCTCCATCTGGCTAACTACCTTCCTCCTATTCAGCAATCAAGGTTCAGCTCAAAGTTCACCTCCCTCATGAAGCCTTAATCTCTCATGGCAAGATTAAACGCCTCTTCATGCTCTGCCAGCCCTCAGCGAGCAGTTACTACCCTGGAGAGTAGACATCTACAGAGCACATCTCTTTCCTCTTGGGAATTACCTCTCTTTGCTCCCCTGCCCCCCACCATCCTAGATATGAAACCTACCTAAGTCTCCATTCCTTTTTTTTTTTTTTTTGCGGTATGCGGGCCTCTCACTGTTGTGGCCTCTCCCATTGCGGAGCACAGGCTCTGGACGCGCAGGCTCAGCGGCCATGGCTCACGGGCCCAGCTGCTCCGCGGCACGTAGGATCTCCCTGGACGGGGGGCACGAACCCATGTCCCCCACATCGGCAGGCGGACTCTCAACCACTGCACCACCAGGGAAGCCCAGTTAGATTGTTTATTTGAGATTTTTCTTGTTTCTTTAGGTAGGCTTGTATAGCTATAAACTTCCCTCTTAGAACTGCTTTTGCTGCATCCCATAGGTTTTGGATCGTAGTGTTTTCACTGTCATTTGTCTCTAGACATTTTTTGACTTCCTCTTTGATTTCTTCAGTGATCTCTTGGTTATTTAGTAACATATTGTCTAGCCTCCATGTGTTTGTGTTTTTTACGTTTTTTCCCTGTAATTGATTTCTAATCTCATAGTGTTGTGGTCAGAAAAGATGCTTGATATGATTTCACTTTTCTTAAATTTACTGAGGCTTGATTTGTGACCCAAGATGTGATCTATCCTGGAGAGTGTTCCATGTGCACTTGAGAAGAAAGTGTAATCTGCTGTTTTGGGATGGAATGTCCTATAAATATCAATTAAATCTATCTGGTCTATTGTGTCATTTAAAGCTTCTGTTTCCTTATTTATTTTCATTTTGGATGATCTGTCCATTGGTGTAAGTGAGGTGTTAAAGTCTCCCACTATTATTGTGTTACTGTTGATTTCCTGTTTTACAGCTGTTAGCAGTTGCCTTATGTATTGAGGCGCTATGTTGGGTGCATATATATTTATAATTGTTATGTCTTCTTCTTGGATTGATCCCTTGATCATTATGTAGTGTCCTTCCTTGTCTCTTGTAACATTCTTTATTTTAAAGTCTATTTTATCTGATATGAGTATTGCTACTCCAGCTTTCTTTTGATTTCCATTTGCATGGAATATCTTTTTCCATCCCCTCACTTTCAGTCTGTATTTGTCCCTAGGTCTGAAGTGGGTCTCTTATAGACAGCATATAGATGGGTCTTGTTTTTGTATCCATTCAGCAAGCCTGTGTCTTTTGGTTGGAGCATTTAATCCATTAACGTTTAAGGTAATTATCAATATGTATGTTCCTATGACCATTTTCTTAATTGTTTTGGGTTTGTTTTTGTAGGTCCTTTTCTTCCTTGTGTTTCCCAGTTAGAGAAGTTCCTTTAGCATTTGTTGTAGAGCTGGTTTGGTGGTGCTGAATTCTCTTAGCTTTTGCTTGTCTGTAAAGCTTTTGGTTTCTCCATCAAATCTGAATGAGATCCTTGCTGAGTTGAGTAATCTTGTTTTTAGGTTCTTCCCTTTCATCACTTTATTAAGTATATCATGCCACTCCCTTCTGGCTTGTAGAGTTTCTGCTGAGAAATCAGCTGTTAACCTTGTGGGAGTTCCCTTGTATGTTATTTGTCGTTTTTCCCTTGCTGCTTTCAATAATTTTTCTTTGTCTTTAATTTTTGCCAATTTGATTACTATGTGTCTCAGCGTGTTTCTCCTTGGGTTTATGCTGTATGGGACTCTCTGTGCTTCCTAGACTTGGGTGGCTATTTCCTTTCCCATGTTAGGGAAGTTTTCGACTATTCTTCAAATATTTTCTTGGGTCCTTTCTCTCTCTCTTCTCCGTCTGGAACCCCTATAATGCAAATGTTGTTGCGTTTAATGTTGTCCCTGAGGTCTCTTAGGCTGTCTTCATTTCTTTTCATTCTTTTTTCTTTATTCTGTTCCCTGGCAGTGAATTCCACCATTCTGTCTTCCAGGTCACTTATCCGTTCTTCTGCCTGTTATTCTGCTATTGATTCCTTCTAGTGTAGTTTTCATTTCAGTTATTGTATTGTTCATCTCTGTTTGTTTGTTCTTTAATTCTTCTAGGTCTTTGTTAAACATTTCTTGCATCTTCTCGATCTTTGCCTCCATTATTTTTCTGAGGTCCTGGATCATCTTCATTATCGTTATTCTGAATTCTTTTTCTGGAAGGTTGCCTATCTCCACTTCACTTAGTTGTTTTTCTGGGGTTTTATCTTGTTCCTTCATCTGGTACATAGCCCTCTGCCTTTTCATCTTGTCTATCTTTCTGTGAATGTGGTTTTTGATCCACAGGCTGCAGGACCATAGTTCTTCTTGCTTCTGCTGTCTGCCCCACCATTCACTTTTTTGGCAGCCACAGCACACTTGACTTTACTCGGCTTGTGGTCAACCAGACAAGCAGGCCCCCCAACCATACCCTCACCTGTGAACTACAGTCCTCTACCCTCAATGCTCTCAAATAAAAGTACTCAAGGGTTATACATAAATGTATATTCACTTCACGTGTATGTTTCAGCCTATTATTTCTCCCTGTTAGAGGCCCTTTCTATTTATTTATTTGGCCACAGTATATGGCTTGTGGGATCTTAGTTCCCCAACCAGGGATCAAACCCATGCCCCCTGCAATGGAAGTGCAGAGCCCTAACCACTGGACAACCAGGGAATTCCCTAGAGGCCCTTTTTTTTTTTAGATTACTGCTTTTTTTTTTTAAAACATCTTTACTGGATATAATTGTTTACAATGGTGTGTTAGTTTCTGTTTTATAACAAAGTGAATCAGCTATACATATACATATACATATATCCCCATATCTCCTCCCTCTTTCATCTTCCTCCCACCCTCCCTATCCCACCCCTCTAGGTGGTCACAAAGCACCGAGCTGATCTCCCTGTGCTATGTGGCTGCTTCCCACTAGCTATATATTTTACATTTGGTAGTGTATATATGTCCATGCCACTCTCTCACTTCGTCCCAGCTTACCCTCCCCCTCCCCGTGTCCTCAAGTCCATTCCCTAGAGGCCCTTTTGATGGCTGTTTTTGTCACACACAGACCTCCCTCCCAGCTGAGCATCATCCTTAACCTGATAAGATAGGCAGCCATGACCAGCTCCAGGTCAGGCCTGGAGGCTCTTTTTTAGCTAGACACTGATCTTCTCATGAGAAGCCTTGGGCTCCAGGCAGGGAAAAAAACCATCCTCACCTTTGGCCACCTGACAGTCCACAGGTACTGAGGACACACCATTTCTCCTATTAATTTCAACCTTGCTTCAACAAATCTTCCTGAGGGTACTGCCTATGAACTAGTGACCGCATTAATGAGCAATAAAAGGTCCTGAGAGGTTTGAAGTATGGGTAGAAAAGAGGCCTAGAGAACTGTGACTGGATCATCAGATCCTGAGTCAGCTGTGGGGTGAAGTGGAAAACTGAGTTTGTGCCAGGAAAAATGAAGATACATGGATTGTACCCAATGAAGGCCTACTCTGTGCCAAGCATCCTGTGGCATTCTACATCTACGGTTATTTTTGTAACCCTAAATCAGGTATGCATTATTATTTTACCTATGAGGAACCAAATGCTCATAGAGGCAAGGTGACTGCCCAAGGTTGCATAATTAATGACTAAGCTGAGAACAAACCCAGGCATTCCTGATTCTGGAGCTTGTCACAATGATTTTTTTTTTTTTTTTTTTTTTTTTGATTTTCCAAACATTACCAGAGAATGAGCAGAGAAAGTTCTGGAAGGTCCTTTATCAAGAAGCCCACAGGAGATCAACCAATCAGGGAACTGTGCACGAGCTGATTGCATACCCTGCAACCCTCATCCCTCACCTTGCCTTTAAAAATTCTTCGCTGAAACCCTTCGGGGAGTTCAGGGTTTGGGAGCATGAGTCCCCATTCTCCTTGCACGGCCCTGCAATAAGCCTCTCTCTCCTCCAAAAAAAAAAAAAAAGCCCACAGGAGTAGACTGATCCACTAGCTTCTTCCAAAAAGATGAAAGGGTGGATGAAAGGAACAAGGCCAGCACCACTGAGAGCACACCCACAGCACGCCCAGCCCCAGGCCCTCAGGCACTGTCCCAAGCAGCCAGAGCACCTTGGTGAAGGAGCTTCATGGCCATGCTGTCCAGTTCTTGCTCTGACTCGTTTCTCAGCTGCACTAAGGAGAGGAGGCTCAGCAGCAAAGGCAGGTTCCCCGAGGCTGTGAGAAACAAGGAGAGCTGGTCAGGGGGATTGACCATCAGATCACCCTAAGGTCAGACAGGCACCCACGACCCACCAGCGGTAAATAGTTTGTTGGGATTTACCCCTATTTCCTGTCTTTTTCCTTCTTCATTTAGAAGAGGGGCAACTGACGTACTGAGTGCCAGCTCTGGGTTGGGTACCAGGAATTCATTATTTCACTTAATCATCCTAAAAATCATGTGAAGTAGGGATTGTTATTCCTATTTTGCAGTTAAGAAAACTGAGGCCCAGAGAGGCTGAGTGACATCTCCAAGGCCCCACAGCAGCAGGGCCAGGGCCAGGACTTGAACCCAAATCTCAATCCAGTGCTCACAGTCATTCCACTATGTGTTTCCAAGAAATCTCATGGCTCTTAAACACTATTATTAGTTAGTTGTGGCTTGTCCTTCCCTGAAAAAGAAAGACTCAGCTCTTCTAAATACCCTTAAACATACCTCCAAACCGCCGTCCTCAATCAGAACTGGACCAAGTGAGCCACAGCTCTCTACCTACTTCCTCTTAATTGCTTTGAAATTTAAAAATTCAACTTTCTGAGAGTAATCAGACCAATCCCAGTCTTTCAGTGTCTTCATACTGTACCAAATATCAAGCTTCCTTGACTCCAGGGAGTCCCATTCCAGATTTAGAAACCATCCTTTTGGATCTCACCAGGAGCTTCCAATACATCACAGATCCACCCCCTTCCCAGCCCCTGCTGGCTGCTGCTGCCTCTCTGACCTCCCCAGTATTTACCCCTTTTTTCTTCCCAACTGGAGGCTGCCATTCCTGTGACAAACAGCTCTGAGCACATGCTGGGCAGGGTGGGGACATGCATGCATACATCAAACACTCTCACCCATGCAGACATTAAACATAAGCACACTCAAACCACATACACAAACCAAATATGTTGAGCACCCACTCTCCAATGAGAGGAAGGAGATAAAGTTTAGTTTGATGCCCCACTGTTCTGACTTTTCTTTTGCATGGAAAACTCTGATTCTCTCTCCTAGAGCAGACCTCATCAGGGCAGAGATGCCACTTCTGTCTGACCTTCAGGTCAATACATGCCCCCAGCAGCTGCAGACTGACCTTCTGATGGGGAGGACCCATGTTCCACCAGCAGATGCTGTAGGATCAGCAGGAAGTGGCCTCGGATGAGACCACCCACTTGGACATCCTCATTCCTCCTCAAAAAGGTCCTCAGGACGATCAGTACCTTGCGGGCTGTGTCCACTGGACTGGAATAGATGAGGTCCTGAGCAGGAGAGAAGGAAGCCAGAGCTCAGAGGGCATTATGGTTAGGGACAGGTGGACACTGAATAAGAGAGGAGCTGGGGAAGGGTCCCAAATGATGGTGTCACAGAACCTGTGGAAAGAAGCACTCACTCAGCATCTACCATGCATCATCCTGTCAAATAAGTCTATCCTAAATAGGAGAAAATGAAGGCTCAGAGAGATTATGTGATGTGCCAAACTTCATGTAAGCTAGTAAGTGGCACAATTAGGATTTGAATACGGGTCTCCTAACTCCAAGCCCAAAGCTCTTTCTACTTTCCGGGATGCCTCTCTCTTGTAAATGGAATTACAGGGTCAAGAAGAGGTTATTTCAGAACAGGGGACCTGAGGGTGCCTTAAGGGAGAAGGGGGCGGGGAATGGAGATGTCACAGGGCAGGCAGAGGATGGGTTAGGACAGATTCAGGGTACAGGAAGGGAAGCAAGGACCAGATCAGGCCCTGTCTCTGCCATGGCATCTGGCTATTTCTGCCCCAAGGTGTAAAGGCCTTGGTTTCAGAAGGTGGGAAAGAACATTGCTTTTTATTTGCTTTCAGAGGTATTTTAATGAGTATATGTTAAAGGCAAAGCCAGCAGAAGCCACACCAGAGGCTATCCTACTGATAGCTCCTGGCACCTTCTAGCTCAAACAAGCCAATTCCATTGGACAGGCCAGTTAGGGCTGGGTGTCATGAAACCAAGGTTACACACAGACTCCCTTTCCAGGGAAGACAACTTCTGACACAGAGAGACATGATTACAGGGCAACTGGCCAGACAAATCCAGATGGGCTGATCACTGGGTAGCACAGGGGTGTCTGGGCCTGGCTCTTTAAAAACCTCCGCAGCTGCCAGAGAAACAACTAAAATATTGATGAAATAATTCATATTTTATGGCAAGATGAGAAAAATTAACAAAATTTTTTTTCTACTCGTTTGGGCCTCCTCCCTCCCCTTTGGCGTATACTGTGCATCTGCATTAACCAGACCTCCTTAGGAGACAACATTCTTTCTTAATCTCATCAAGGGTCACAACGCACAACTCCTTAGGGTATAATTTCCTTCCTAATCTTGTAAGGAGCCACGATGACCTGTGACCCACTACTTGCTTTGTACGTGTAGATCTGGATTGTGTAAACTGTCAATAACACATCATTTGTCTCAAAAACTTACATCACTGTGCTTTGACCTCTTACAGGCAGAACAGTCCTCAGAGCTTTCCTTTTTTTTTTTGCCACACCACGTGGCTGGCAGGACCTTAGTTCCCCAACTAGGGATCGAACCCTTTCCCCCTGCAGTGGAAGCACAGAGTCCTAACCACTGGACCACCAGGGAATTTCCCTCAGAGCTTTCTGAAAGACTGTCTCCTGGGTTATAATCCTCAGGTTGGCTCAAATAAAATTTTCCATTTCTTTCTTAGATTGACTATTGATTAATTTTTGTTGACATTATCAATAGCAATCACTCAATTAGGGCCTGATAATGTCAGGTACTGTGCTGTGTTTAAACTGTAGTTGTATGTTTGTTTATACATTATCTGTATCTTCATGATAACTCTTCCAGGTAGGTGCACCCCGATTTTTCAAATGAGCAAACTGGGACAGATTAAGTAGTTTGCCTATCAAAAAAGCAGTGGCATTGTAAGTTCTACTACACTATGATTTAATGAAGGGCAGGGATGAGATTGGCTTCATTTTTGTTACCTTGTAGGGACTCAGAAAACATCTCTGGAAGGAAAGGATCTCAGAATGAGAGGGCTAGAGGTTCATTTCCACCACCTTTTTTACTTTACAGAGTATGAGGCTAAAGCCCAGATGACGTGTGATTTGCCCAAGGTCACAGGGCCCAAGGCCAAACCAGTTTCCCACTCCTGCTCCTTCACTGGCACACAGCTGCCTGACTGCCAGAGCTGGTCCCTTAGAAACCTGAGTTAGTAAATGTTAGTGCAAAAGGAAGGGGGCTACTTAGCATTTGGCAACCATGCTGAATGCCAGGGGAAGGAGTGCACCCCACCATATGGGTCAGTGGGAAGGCTCTGGGTGGAGCATGGCCCACTCCACAGTCTCTCCTGTCCAGAGCTGTCCAGAACTCTCTGGGACTGGACCGACCAGAGGGATGTGGCCAAGCAGGGAACAAACAGAGCTGCTGTTTTTTACACATAAACAACCTACATGAAAGACCACGCGTTGGTAAGAGTGGCAATTAACAGCTTTGTTTTCACCTGTTAATTACACATATCAAAAACAGAAATTGGTACCACCACATATTTTTAGACTCTTTCCTTTCCTGCGGCTAGAAGCTGGGGAGAAATGGTAGGAATTATATACACATGAACAAACAACAAAGCTGTTCCTTGCTATTTTTTCTTACCACTGATGTTTCTAGGATCTAATTTAGTGAAAAACTCATTAATTTAGGCTCCAGTCATGGTTATGATCTTTATTAGCTATATGACCTTGGCAATTCAATAAGCCTCTGTGAGATTAACATTATCCGGTTCAGAGTCAGTCAATAATCAGTGAATGATAGTCTACCCTGTATAGCATATCACAAGTGTTCCTATACATTCTTTCATTTATCCCCATGTTATCTCCCTTATGCATGTGAGGAAACCGAAGCTCAGAGAAGCCTTCATCTTCCAGTTGTTAGTGGTTTGTTGTGTCTGAGTCTCTCACTGGCCCATGGGGCAGGGACTAGGTGAAATTCATCCCTATATCCCTAGTGCTCAAACAAACAGCTCTCCCATTAGATGAAACACTGAATTTAGCTGAGTTTACTGGAAAGAACATTAGGGAGTCAAAATCTGGGTTTTAATCTCAGCTCTTGTGACCTTGGACAAATCTCTCTAAACCTATTATTTCTTCATCTGTTTAAAAAGAAAAAAATAAGATACCATGATTAGTATCTTTCTCAGAAGATCTGAATTTTTCTTTTTTGAGACACTTAGATCTGTCCAGACCCCTAACTCAATAGGTCAGCAAAGATTTATAAGTACCTGTTATATGTGAGGAATTGACCCTGAATACATTACCTGGCAAAGAAAATCCAGTATCTTAGCTCTGTCCATTGCTACTCTGCCTGGCATCCCATCTTTTCTTCTTTCCCTATGCACTAATGGTTTATTTTTAACCCGTTCCTTCTTCTCTTTTCTTCCTCCTCCAAGGAAGAATTTGAGCCAAAGCATGAATGTGGCCCCTATCAAGCCAACACGTGTGTGATTTCACAAGACGACAGATCTCAGGGAAAAAGGTGAAGATTTAAGTCTGAGTGGGGAGTGTGTACATGAGAATGTGAATACAGACAGATGTAGGTAACTAAGGATGTGAGATATATAATATGCAGGTGTTATTTCCACCACAGTCACTCCAATAAAGTCAGGGAATCGTGTTTGTTGATGATAAGAATATCAAAGGAACACCCACTCTTCTCTAAAGGGCTATGTCATTCTTCCAGGACTAAGGGGTGGGGAGCCAAGTAACTGGCATTGAAGGCAGGGGTTCTAAAAAGAGTGTCTCATATGCTAGTGTGCTCAGTTTGGGACCTAAAACTAGTAACTGGTCACTAAATACAAATTGTCAAATGTGTAAAAAATTTCCTTTTTAATATATATATATAAATTATAGCAGTCATCTCTATAATAATGAGGAAAAAAAGATGGAATTAAAGTCAGTGTGTTAGAAACTCCAGACAGCAGGCAGCTTACTTATCTAACTGATGTACCTGACAGAAATTATAGGAATTATAGGAATGTCTTACTTCATAAAAAAAGCAATGGAATATGCAATAAACTCATGACAAAAAAATTCTGGGTATGCCTAAGGGAGGGTGTTGCACATGTAACATTATCCTGAGAGTTATGGTAGAAAAGAGGCTGAGTCCCTCTGCTATCAGACATCTTCATCTACGTGCCCCAGGGCTCCCCTATGACATCAAACCCTTGTTAACAGAATATGCTTAAGAGAAGACAGGGAGGCGGGAGGGAATGGTGACTGAGGTCAGCATTTCATAGGTATATCCCCTGGGGATTAGAGAGGCACATATCTCTCAGTGAGCCGACCTCCATCAGACTTAAGAAAGGGTATAGACTTACAGAAACCAGGCACCTGCCAGCCGAAAGCACCTCCTACTCACATGGAAACAGTGATAAGTCCAGAGGCAGGCAGAAGCAGCTGCGGGTGCCTCCTGACCTCAATAAACCAGCTCCCAGAGAGAGAGGGCCCACCATCTCTGAATGTAGAAATGAGCAAGTGGTCACCTACCAGCAAAATGAGCAGGGTGCTGGGGCTGCTTCTGAGCACATGAAACAGGGCTGCTAAGCTGGCGGGAAGGGTGGGCTGCCCAGCAGAGGCGACATCATCCAGCTCCTCACAGATGCTCTCTTCCCAGGAGAACCAAAGTTCCAGGACACGGTGCCCAAACCTACTCATCAGCTCTGGATACAACAGGAATAACCTGAGCAGGAGGGGGTGGTGGGTGTACACTAGGTGCAGGTCCGGGATGCCCTCTAGTAGTTTTCTGATGGCGCCAACCACAGCCTGGAGGCAAAGAAGAAAGGGGCTAAATACACCTTGCAGAGGACTCAAGAGACCCCAATCCCCAACAAACACAGACAGCCAAGACGTAGCGGGAAAAATGTACTGGCTTCTCAGTGCTCCAGGATATCTACACTGGCTCATCCCAGCACCCTCTAGAGAAAAGAAAACCTCACTGTGCTTACCTTATAACAATGGTCCTCAACTGGGGGTGATTTTGCTCCTCAGGGGACATTTTAAAATGTTTACAGACATTTTTGATTGTCTTGATTGGGAGAGTGCTACTGGCATCTAGTAGGAGAGAGCAGGATCCCACTAAATATCCTACAATGCACAGGACAGCCTCCCACAGAAAAGAGTTAGACTGTGCAAAATGTTAATAGTGCCATGGCTGAGAAACCCAGCTCTATAATGATACCACAGTGTATCATAATTGTCAGCGTGTACTTGTCCACCTCCCACACTAGACTTGAGATGCTTGAGGGCAGGGACTGCGGCAGATTGATCTGTGCACTTGGCCTAAGACCTGGCACAGAGAAAGCAAAGGGCAGGTGTTCTGAATCATTTATTAACCCTCAAAAACCTATCTCTTCCCATTGTACATATTACAAAGCTCAAATTCCTTAACATGTTATTTTAAGAATTTTATAGTTTATAGTTTTCACTCTTCATTTGGGTCTTTGATCTATTTTGATTTATTTTTTGTGTACGGTATGAGGTAAGGGTCCAAATTCATTCTGTTGCTTGTGGATATCCAGCTGTCCCAACACCATTTATTAAAAAGGCTATTCTTAAAAAAAAAAAAAAGGTTATTCTTTCCCCACTGAATTGTCTTGGCATCCTTTTAAAAATATATGGGTTTCAGCTTCCCTGGTGGCGCAGTGGTTGAGAGTCCACCTGCTGATGCAGGGGACACGGGTTCGTGCCCCGGTCCAGGAAGATCCCACATGCCGCGGAGCGGCTGGGCCCGTGAGCCATGGCCGCTGAGCCTGCGCGTCCGGAGCCTGTGCTCCGCAACGGGAGAGGCCACAACAGTGAGAGGCCCGCGTACCGCAAAAAAAAATAAAAATAAAATAAAATATGGGTTTATTTTTGGACTCTTAGTTGTATTCCATTGATCTGGTTGTCTATGCTAGACATATACCAGAACCACACTGTCTTGATTACTCTATTTTTGTAGTAAGTTTAACTTAAGAAGTGTGAGTCTTCCAACCTTGTGCTTTTTTAAAAAATTTATTAATTTTTTTTGCTGTGTTGGGTCTTCGTTGCTGCACACGGGCTTTCTCTAGTTGCGGCAAGTGGGGGCTACTCCTCGTTGCGGTGCACGGGCTTCTCACTGCAGTGGCTTCTCTTGTCACGGAGCATGGGCTCTAGGTGCACGGGCTTCAGTAGCTGTGGCACGCGGGCTCACCAGTTGTGGCGCGTGGGCTCTAGAGTGCAGGCTCAGTAGTTGTGGCGCACGGGCTTAGATGCTCTGTGGCATGTGGGATCTTCCCGGACCAGGGCTCGAACACATGTCCCCTGCATTGGCAGGCGGATTCTTAACCACTGTACCACAAGGAAAGCCCTTGTGCTTCTTTTTCAAGATTGTTTTGGCTATTTTGGGTCCCTTGCATTTCCATATAAATTTTAGGATCAACTTGTCTATTTCTGGACAAAAAAAGAGAAGGCAGGGACTCTCCTGGTGGCACAGTGGATAAGAATCCGCCTGCTGCAACTGGAGAAGTCCTGTGTGCAGCAACGAAGACCCAACGCAGCCAAAAATTAATAAAATTAAATCTTAAAAAAACAAAAGAGAAGGCAACAGGGATTTTGATCAAGATTATGTTGAATCTATAGATCAATTTGGGGAGTACTGCCATCTGAACACTATTGTCTTCTTTTTTCCTAATTTTATTGAGATATAATTGATGTATAACATTGTATAAGTTTAAGGAGTATAACATAATGATCTGATAAATGTATATATTGTGAAATGATTACCACAATAAGTTTAGTCAACATCCATCACCTCACATAATTACAAAAGTTTTTTCCTTGTGATGAAAACTTTTAAGATCTACTTTCTTAGCAACTTTCAAATATACAAAACAACATTGTTAGCTGTAGTCATCATGATGTACATTACATCCCCAGCACTTATTTGTCTTATAACTGGCCATTAAGTCTTCTGATTCATGAACACAGGTTGTCTTTCTATTTAGTTATGTATTCTTTAAATTCTTTCAATAATGTTTTGTGAGTTTCAGTGATCAAGTCCTTGCACTTCTTTTGTTAAATTTATTCCTATATATTTAATTTCTTAATGCTACTGTAAATGGAATTATCTTCTTAATTTCCTTTTCGAGCATGTTATTAAAGACTTAGGTCTACCTCCCAGCTTCTTTCCACTCCTTCTCCCACATGACCTAGCCAAGCCACACTAAACTAGGCTTCCTTCCTTGAATGGATAGACTGGGTAACTCCCCACTTCTGTATCTTAAATCTTACTCTACGCTCAGCCTGAAAGTTCTCCCTTCACTACCTCCATCTCTTCCACGAAGCCTCTCTGATGCCACAATCGGACACAACCTCTTGCCCCTTGTGCTTTCGTAGCTCTCAATGGTCCTCCAGCTCCAGGAAGCACTGCAGCTGTTCCCTGCCTTGTAGGAGATCTTTTTGTCTCTCTTGCCAAACTGGTGCTCCCTGAGGGCAGGGAGTTTGTTTGATTCACCTCAACCCTGACAGGGACCCACATGGCACCTGGCACCTGGCACATGATAAGTGGTCAATGCACATAGGGGAGTTATTGTTTAATGGGTATAGGGTTTCAGTTTTGCAAGATGAAAAGATTTCTGGAGATAGATGGTGGTGAGATGGTTGCACAACAATATTAATGTACACAATACCATTACTGTACACTAAAAATGGTTAAAATAGTAAATTTTATGTTTGTGTATTTTACCACAATTTTTTTAAAAACCTGGATAAATAAATAAAAATAGAAAAACAAAAATGAAGTGAAAAAAAAACAAGTTGTGACTGTATATTGCCATTTATATATTTATATAAGAATTTTTAAAATGCAAAACAATGTTATATATCATTTATGGATTCACACCTAACAGGGGAAATCTGGAGCTCCTCCATAACTACCTTCTAAGTCTCCACACCCACTGGTAGATGGGAAGAGAGGGCCCCCAAGAACCAATCTTGCCACGATTATTAGTCTTGAAGCCATCAGGACTATTCCTATTGTGTCCTTTTCCCCCGTTTACATCAGTCACCTCAGAAAGCCCAGAAATTTCAGGTCACCCCCATATGGCTCAGGACATGCCCTCTTTAAATCCCATCTCCCACTCTTACACAGCTCCACAACCCTTCCACGTGCCCTCTAGAACTCACTCACAGTTATCAGCAAATTCCCTATGTCCTGTACCTCTTTGAATATTCCCTTCACCTTGCTGCTTTGATTCTCTGCCAAAAACCTCTTTTGCCTACAGTCTCTCAAGGGGGGCTATTTTCACTCCATTTCCCTAGTTCGAAAACCTTGGCCTCTAAATTCTCTTACTTCCTCCTTCTAATCTCCTCTACCTGCCTCAGCCATTCATTCCCATGGTCATGTATCTAGACCTTGTCATTACGAAGAACTGCACCCTCCCAAATAATCCCAGTTTCAAGCAACCCATTTTACCACCACCCCTCCTATCTTTCCAGCTCACTCCCTCTAGTATTTCAATCCAACAATTCTTTGACCCTCATGAGAACCAAAATCTTTGAAAACATCCTTTTATCTTCTCTTATTCTCATACTTCACACTGGTCCATCAAGAGATCCTATGGCACCAACTTGAAAATATATCCAGAAGCTGACAATTTTCACCACCTACTCCACTATCTCTTCCCTACATTATTGCTTTAGCCTCCTAACTGGTTTCTGCATCCTCAACCTTGTACTCCTCTGTTATATTGTCCTAGTGGCCAGAGTGATCTTGTTTAATCCAGCCATGAATTAAACCATGAGACTGTATGAGATCATCAAAGCAGGAAATTTAGAGAAAAAAGAAAAGCAGTCACAGACTGAGCCCTGAGGTACTACAACATTTAGAGGTCAAGGCGATAAAAGAGAATCAGCAAAAGACACTGAGACATAACTGCCACAGAAGTAGGAGGAAAACTAGGAATACCCGGTATTCTAGATGCCAAGGAAAAGCAGTGTTTCAAAGAAAAGAGATGTTGTTGATAGGTCAAGCAAGATGATGACTAAAATACTGACTATTGGCTTTAGCCATGTCTCTGTTATTGGTGACTTTGACAAGTGCATTTTCAGGGATATGGTAAGAGTGAAAGCCTAACTGGGTAGGATCAAGACAGGATGGGAGAGCAGGAATGCCTGAAGCATCTTGTGATACTAGAAAACTCAAACTCAGGCTTCCCTGGTGGTGCAGTGGTTAAGAATCTGCCTGCCAATGCAGGGGACACGGGTTCGAGCCCTGTTCCGGGAAGATCCCACATGCCATGGAGCAACTAAGCCTGTGCACCACAACTACTGAGTCTGCACTCCAGAGCCCACGTGCCACAACTACTGAAGCAGCGCACCTAGAGGCCATGCTCAGCAGCAAGAGAAGCACCACAAAGAGAAGCCCACGCACCACAATAAAGAGTAGCCCCTGCTCGCAGCAACTAGAGAAAGTCCACGTGCAGCAGCCAAAAATAAAAAATTAATAAATAAATAAATTTATTTTTAAAAAAAGAAAAGAAAACTCAAACTCTGTGTCAAAGATCACTAAGGTTGTGTCAAAAGGGCTTAGGAGCAACCTTGAATAGTCTCCCACTGGCCAAAGATAGGACGGTTTGATCCTCAAAAGGATAATATAGTGGATTGAAACCATCAAATATTTTTAAATCGATGAGCTCATAATGATACTAAAAAAATCTCTTTGGTCACTTTTAGAGAGTGCTAGGCAACCAACTCATTTTTTTTTGAAAACTGGTAATTAAAGGGAAAGAATCAAACATTCACTCTATGCTTCCTATACAATCTATCATTCAGAGTAACAGAATAGTTGGTGAGAGAAGTTTGTTTTATACAAATAGTCCAGTTAATAAACAAAGAGAGAATGACAGAATTAGGATATTATATTTTGCAATCCCTAACGAATTAAAGGATCTAGGGAATGATCACCAATGGCTGCTAATACCACAAAAAGAGAGACAATGGGACATTATATACCTACATCTGTCTTACTTGAGAACACTTGCACTTCTACTATACCTTCCTGATTCCATTCAGATTAAACCAGGTCTGCTCATGTCACATTTGACCCAATAGTAATTTTTTTAAAAAGGCAAAATTAATAGTCAGTGAAGGAAGAGAGTCCTTAATTTGAGGCTGAAGAGTCCACATCTAAGGAATAAAAGCAATTTTCAGTGGAAAAGGTGACAGATCCAGTGATGAATCACACATAGTCCTCCACCCCTGAGAGTTTATAAAGAAGCTAGAGAGAGAAAACTTGTAACATATAACCACCTTCAAAGCAATCCAAGACCAGCCTGGTTAACAATGATCTGGGTGCCGGCAACACACTTTGATAAACTGTTACCTGGAGACACCTCACACCTCTTTCCTCCTGCATAAACCAGAGGTGGTACTAAGAAAAGAGCCTTGGGAGTTGGTCAAGTCTGAGCTGGAGTCCTGGTCACGCCATCAATTAACTGTGTGACCTAGCAAAAGTTATCAATACTTTAACCTAAGTCTTGATTTTCTTATCTATAAAATGGAAATAATAATCTCTGCCTCCCAGTACTGTTGAGAGAATTGGCTAAGTTACAAGGGCTATGTATATATCAGCACTCTATCTTCCCCCACTCCCCCAACACACACTCTCTCTCTGCCACCCACCTTCTCTATATATACATCATCATAGTCTCCCAAGGAACCATGATGTGAAGAGGTGCAAGAGGAGGAAGAAAAGCCCCAGGCACTTTGGTCCATACCTCATCTAGCGCACCGTCTTTGTCCTGGCAGATTGCAAGTAGATAGATGGAAGCTCTGAAGACCACCAGTGGAGGGCATTCACCCTGGTCCTGCAGAGACAGGAGGAAGCTTCGCACAGCCATGAATAACTCTGCCTCTGAGACAAACCTGTCAACCAAGGAGAGTCTGAGTGAAAAAGGCAGAGATGGCTGTCCTGCCCTGCCACGTCCTCCCTCAGCCACTGTCCTTCTGTCCCAGCATGTCCACATTCTAATGACACCTTGCACAAAGAGTGTGTTGTATATATTTAACAAAGCATCGTCACACATGCATAGCACATAGTTCTGTGCTTTGTGCAAGGCTCTATTAGAGGCCAGAGACTCCTCACTCACACCTAGAAGGTAAAGCATCAGGCAGCTGGACCGGCAGTGTTAAAGAGAAGGATGCTGCTTCTGGGGCTCAGGAGGCCCTGCTTTGGCAGCCAGTCCACCCTTCTCGTATTTATCATTAAACATTTCTGTGTTCAATGGGCTACTTTCTGGGGGAGGGAGACGTCTATACTTGTACATGCAAGGGAGATGGGGATGAGGAGGAAACTGACTTCACTATATACCCTCTTATATCTTTTAAATTTTCTACCCTATGTCTCACCTATCAGATTAAGACCCCCCAAAATTAAACATTTTTAAATAGGTAATAGTAAATGCTATGCAGTATCCTGGATTGTGTCCTAGAACAGAAAAGGAACGATAGAGGAAGAATTGGTGAAATCTGAATAAAGCTTAGTTAATAGTATTGTACCTTCACATATATCATCAAATGATTTTCAACAAGGGTGCCAAGACCATTCAATGGGGAAAGGACAGTCTTTTCAACAAATGGTGCTGGGAAAACCAGATTTCCACACGCAACAGAATGAAGTTAGACTCTTACCTAACACGATGTTAAAAAAAAATTAACCCCAAATGGATCCACACTTAAGACCTAAAACTATAAAATTTTTAGAAAAAAACATAAGGCAAAACTTTCTTGACATTGAATTTGGCAATGAATTCTTGGTTATGACAACAACGGCATAGGCAATAAAAGAAAAAATAAACAAACTGGACTTTATGAAAGTTTAAAAATTTTGTGCATCAAAAGACTACCAACAGGGCTTCCCTGGTGGTGCAATGGTTGAGAGTCCGCCTGCCGACGCAGGGGACACAGGTTCGTGCCCCGGTCCGGGAAGACCCCACATGCAGCGAAGCGGCTGGGCCCGTGAGCCATGGCCGCTGAGCCTGTGCGTCCGGAGCCTGTGCTCCGCTACGGTAGAGGCCACAACAGTGAGAGGCCTGCGTATCGCAAAAAAAAAAAAAAAAAAAGACTACCAACAGAGTAAAAAGGCAACCCACAGAATGGGAGAAATTATTTGTAAATCATATATCTAATAAGGAATTAATATCCAGAATACATAGAGAACTCCTAAAACTCAACAACAAAAAAGTTGAAACAATCTGATTAAAAAATGGAGAAAAGATTTGAATAGACATTTCTCCAAAGAAGATACACAAATGGCCAATAAGCACATGAAAAGATGCTCAACATCACTAATCATTAGGGAAACACAAATCAAAACTATGAGATAACAACCTCATATCCATTAGGATGGCTACTATCAAAACAAAAACAAAAACAAGTATTGGAGAGGATGTGGAGAAATTGGAACCCTTGTGCACTGCTGGTGGGACTGTAAAATGGTATAGCCACTGTGGAAAACAGTATGACATCTCCTCAAAAAATTAAAAATAGAACGACCAGATGATCTAGCAATTCCACTTCTAGGTATATACTCAAAATAATCGAAAGCAGGGACTCAGGGAGATATTTGTATACCTATGTTCACAGCAGCATTATTGACAATATATAATAAAAGGAAGCAACCCAAGTCTCTATCGACAGATGAATGGATAAGCAAAATGTGGTATATACATGTACAATGGAATATTATTCGGTGCAAAAAAGGAGGGAAGTTATGACATATGCTACAGCTTGGATGAACCTTAAGACATTATGCTAAGTGAAATAAGTCAGTCACAAAAAGACAAATACTGTATGATTCTACTATAATTAGTACTTAGTATAGTCAAACTCATAGGAACAGAAAGTAAAATGGTGGTTGCAGGGGCTGGGGGCAGGGGGGAATGGACTTACTGTTTAATGGGTATAGAGTCTCAGTTTTGCAAAATGAAGAGTGCTGGAGACGGATAGTGGTAATGGTAGCACAATATTATGAATGTATTTAATACTACTGAACTGTACAGTAAAAATAGTTAAGATGGTAAATTTTATGTTTGTGTATTTTACAATTTAAAAAATTGGAAAAAATAGTCATGTGCCAATGTTACTGTCTTAGTTGGATAAATGTACCACAGTTATGTATTAGGAGAAAATGGGTGAAGAGTAACTTTTCTGTAAATCTAAAATTACTCCAAAATAAAATGTTTATTTAAAAACTAAAAAGAAAATGGATAACAGCCATAATATAAATATTATGCTACCAAAAGAATAAGGTAGACCTATTAATACATGTAGTAGCATGGAAAGATGTCCAAGATATACTGTTAAGTTAAAAAGCAAGTTGAAGACCTTGTATTATATCCCATTCTGTATATTTAAAAAAAAAGTATATTTGTGTGTTGTTTGTTTTGTTTTGTTTTGTTTTGTTATTATTTTTGGCTCTGTTGGGTCTTCGTTGCATTCTCTAGTTGTGGCGAGCGGGGGCTGCTCTTCATTGCGATGCGCAGGCTTCTCATTGCAGTGGCTTCTCTTGTTGCAGGGCACGAGCTCTAGGCGTGCGGACTTCAGTAGTTGTGGCTCACGGGCTCCAGAGCGCAGGCTTGGTAGCTGTGGCACATGGGCTCGGTTGCTCCGCAGTACGAGGGATCTTCCCGGACCGGGGCTTGAACCCGCGTCCCCCGCACTGGCAGGTGGATTCTTACCATGTGCCACCAGGGAAGTCCCTCTATTCGTGTTTTTTAACACACAGAAGAGTTCATGGAGGGTACCTAATAGTAGTTAACTCTGGCAGGTGTATGGGGAAGTATTTTAACGTTATAGCCAATCATTTTTCTTGAGTTTTTACAATAAGCACGAGTTTTAAAATAAGAAAAAAACTTTTTATATATATATAAATTTATTTATTTATTTTTGGCTGCGTTGGGTCTTCGTTGCTGTGCAGGGGCTTTCTCTAGTCGTGGAGAGTGGGGGCTACTCTTCGTCGCGGTGCATGGGCTTCTCATTGCGGTGGCTTCTCTTGTTGTGGAGCAGGGTCTCTAGGTGCGCGGGCTTCAGTAGTTGTGGCGCACAGGCTCAGTAGTTGTGGTTCATGGGCTCTAGAGCGCAGACTCGGTAGTTGTGGCACATGGGCTTAGTTGCTCTCCAGTCCAGGGCTCGAACCCGTGTCCCCTGCATTGGCAGGCAGGTTCTTAACCACTGTGCTACCAGGGAAGTCCAGAAATAACTTTTAAACTATCACATGGGTCAAGTGATGTTCAGTGAGGGTGTCAAGACAATTCAAAGGGGGAAAAATAATCTTTTCAACAAGTGGCGCTGGAACATCTGTATAAGCCACATTATAAAAAAGAAGTTGGGGGCTTCCCTGGTGGCGCAGTGGTTGAGAGTCCGCCTGCCGATGCAGAGGACACAGGTTCGTGTCCCGGTCCGGGAAGATCCCACATGCCACGGAGAGGCTGGGCCCATGAGCCATGGCCACTGAGCCTGTGCGTCCGGAGCCTGTGCTCCGCAACGGGAGAGGCCACAGCAGTGAGAGGCCCGCGTACCACAAAAAAAAAAGAAGTTGGACCCCTACCTCACACCATCATAAAAGTTAACTCAAAATGGATCATAAACCTATATGTAAGAGCTAAAATTGTGAAAGAAAATAACTATAGAAGAAAATATAGGAGTAAATCTTCATGACTTTGGGTTAGAAAATGGTTTCTTAGAATCAACACCAAAAGCATAAATGACAACAGAAAAAACAGACATATTTCATACCCCCCCCAAATTTTTAAAATTAGATTTAATAAAAATTTAAAACTCTGTGCTTCAAAGGATACCATCAAGAAAGTTAAAAGACAACTAACAGAACGGGAGAAAAAAATTGCAAATCACATATCTAATAAGGGACTTGAATCTAGAACATATAAAGAACTCTTACAACTCAGTTAAAAAAATGGGTCAAAGATCTGAATTTCTCCAAAGAAGGTGTGCAAATGGCCAAGAAGCACATGAAAAGATGTTCAAAATCATTAGTCATTAGGGAAATGCTATTCAAAACCACAATGCAAAAACCACTTCATAACCGCTAGGCTGGCTATAATCAAAAAGATGGACAACAAGTGTTAACAAGGATATGGAGAAACTGGAACCCTCAAATATTGCTGGTAGGATTGCAGCTACTCTGGAAAACAATTTGGAAGTTCCTCAAAATGTTAAACATTGTATTGCCATATGACTCCTCAATTCTACACCTAGTATATACAGAAAAGGAAGAGAAAAGCAAGTACTCAAACAAATACATGTATACACATATTCACAGCATTACTATTCACAATAGCCAAAAGGTGGAAACAGCCCAAATGTCCAGCCATGGATGAAGGAATAAACAAATTGTGGTGTATATATACAACGGTATATTATTCAGCCAAAAAAAAAAAAAAAAGAATAAAGTACCAATGCATGCTACAAACATTATGCTCACTGGACGAATCTTGAAAACACTGTGCTAAGTGGAAGAAGCCAGGTGCAAAAGGTCACATACTGTATGACTACATCTATAGGAAATGTTCAGAATAGATAAATCCATAGAGACAGAACACAGACTGTTGGTTGCCAGGACCTGAGCAGAAAAAGGAATGGGTAGTGACTGCTTAATGGATAAGAGGTTTTACTTTGGAGTGATGGAAATATTTTGGAACTAGATAGAGATGGTGGTTGCACAGCACTGTGAATGTATTAAATGCCACTAAATTCGCTTTAAAACAGTTAATTTAATTATGTAAATTTTAACTCAATAAATTATTTTTTAAAAGCTTAACAGAAAATAGTCTTTTGATTTTAAATTTTAAAAAATTGTATAGTGATTCTTAAAACCAAAGTAAGGCACTGACATTTTTTTTTTGGTGCGTGAACAACACCCTCAGGGATATCAAGGAACTCTCATTAGCATTCTAGGCCTCTGTCTCTAGACAGACTACCCACCTGTCTTAACCCCCTCTCCAACATGTGAGCCCCTGAGGAATATAAGCCATTTCTCACTTATCTCTGTGTCCCCAGTGACCAGCACCAGGCTTGGAGAGGATGCCTCTGTAAACATTTATTGAACTGAACTTGGCTAAAGATGTAGGTTCCAGAACCAACTGTCAGCCACCAGCTCTGAGCACTGACCTGTCCTCGTGAATGTAGGCCAGGTAGAAGAGGAGCAGGATGCAGTACTGTCTCTGGCGAGTGGCTCCCTCCACGTACTGGCGATCCGACAGGAAAGCAAGGCTTTCAGGGCTCCTGCTGCTTATCTGGGGCAGCCCATGCTGCAGAAGCTCAGACACTGCAGATAGTTCTGGGGAGAGAACAAGCAGGAGAAAAATCACACAAAGGACACAGGAGAGCAGGTAATGAGCACATGGGTGTCTACTACATACAGAGTACTGCACAGGGCAGCAAGGATACACGCCAGATAAAAGGAAATCAGTCTCTTCTTCCTCTCTACCAGGAGAGACTAAAGGTAGCATGTGGAAGGACATAGATACATTCATTCACTTGACAATGTCCACTGATTGGCTACTCTAGGCCAGGCTGTGAGACATGGGCCCTACCTCCAGTAGCTGGCAGCTGGTGGGAAAAAACAGATAATGAGACAGATAATTACAGGACATGTGATCAGTACCATGTTCAAGCGTGGAAGAGAGAGTGACTCACGCCACCTGCGACGGGGAGGGCAAGCTCAAAGAGGAGGGAACTGTGGAGGGTGAAGAGAAAACAGGCAGAGAAAGGAGGGAAGAGACTCCCTGAGCCAGGAAGCAAGGAGTTCAGCAGCCTGGAGGCATAAGAGGAAGTCATGTATAAGGGGCAGGAAGGAGTTCAGTGTGACTGGCCCCTCAGTGAATAGATGTGGAGTGTTAGGGGTTTGGGACTGTGTGATGTAATTTGTAGCTAGACTGTGAAAGACCTTGAATGATGAGTAGAGAATATGGATTTTATCCTGAGAACAGATTCCTAAATTTCTTATGAAACTTCTGTTTCTTAAAAGAAAGAACATTTGATTACCAAAAGAATATGAAAGAAAAGGACCTCAGAGCTTAAATTTTGAATAAAGTCACCTTTATGGAAAATTAACTACATTACCCTTATTTTCCAAATTTCACCATAGACCAGAGAAAACTCCATCACTGTCGGACAATGCCCCACAGACTGATGTTTGGAGACAATGGCTGAAGGCCAGGGTAGTTGAGATGTTAAGGATAGATCGTCTAGCAGTCGGTGAAGACTGGTTGGAGGATGAGAGACTGCAAGCAGGGGGCCAAGTTAGAGGTCAAATGAAAGGGTCCATCCTGCCAGTGCAGTGGGCCTACAGGCAAGTGGAAGGTGACATGGAGAATGTCCCACTGCGATGTGCTAGCAGAGTCAGGTCAGGTTTCCTAATTCTAAGCTTAGGGCCTTTTCTACCAAAGCACACTATGACCACTGTGATAATAACAAAACTAATATCCTTGAGCCTCGCACATCCATATATAAAAGAAAGAAGCAGTCTGCATGTAAGTAAGGTTGGCTGCTCTTCCTGGTGCTCTGAGATATGACAAGATCTCAGGGTCTGAGGGGGCAGACAGTGGGGCCCCTCCTATTCCAACAAGAGAGGGAGCTGCCTGCAGCAAGGGCTGGTGCTGGTGAACACTAGAGGCTGTTGTGATGCGGCTGCCACCATGGTGGAAGTCATCATGTCATTCTCTGTGCAGGCCAGACCACACCTGAATAGGAGGCAGAGAGCTGGACACCGAGCAGAGAGGAGTGGCTGGTACAGTGAGAGAACTAGAAGCCCAGCCATGTTGGAAGGAATGAAAATGCTCACCTGTGCTGCTGTCTCTCTCAGCATAGTGTCTGAGAAAGACAAAGGAAAAAGAGCGGTTTGGGAAGTCTGTAGGGAGAAGACAACATCTTCATAAATGTAAAAAGAGGAAACACAGCCAGCAGCAAATGTCACCCACAAAGAAGGCACGGTATTTGTTGAATGAATGAATAAAACAATGATTAAACTGTTTTATGTTATAGCAAGAGGGAGAGGTCTAGGATAGAGGAACTCCTTAGGGCAGAGAACGTATCGTAATTATCACTGTATCCGCAGCTGCACTTAGGCCTCCCTGACATGCTGCAGAAGCTCAACTAATACTCAGCAAAAGGGAAAACCTCCAGCTCTCAGCCCTGCATCTGCTGCTCCCCCTGCCTAGATGGTGCATGGGACTCCTTGACCTCACTCAGACCTCCACCAACATGCCACCTCCTCACCTCCTCATGAAAACCCTAACGTGTACCTCCTCCTTCCATCACCCCTATCCCTTCACCTAGCTTTATTTTTTTTCATAGCACTCATCCACCCCTGACATTATATCTATGTGTTTATTGTCTGCCTCTCCCACTCCATTGGAACAGGACTTTGTATCCCTATTACCAGCTCCTTGAATAGAGTCTGGCACATAGTAGATGCTCAAGAAATATTTCTTGAATGAAGGAATGAAGAAATGAAACAGGCTGTTCAAGATATTTTGAGCAGGGCTTCCCTGGTGGTGCAGTGGTTGAGCATCTGCCTGCTAATGCAGGGGACACGGGTTCGAGCCCTGGTCTGGGAAGATCCCACATGCCGCAGAGCAACTAGGCCCGTGAGCCACAACTACTGAGCCTGCGCATCTGGAGCCTGTGCTCCGCAACAAGAGAGGCCGCAATAGTGAGAGGCCCGCACACCGCAATGAAGAGTGGCCCCGCTTGCCACAACTAGAGAAAGCCCTCACACAGAAACAAAGACCCAACACAGCCAAAAATAAATAAATAAAGTATCTTCTAACTTTAACATTAGAGTACTTGCCATTTCCCCATTTCTACAACAAATACACTTCTGCATGAAAACATAGACTAGGAAAATCTCATATTAGGTTTAAAAAAAAAAGATATTTTGAGCAAAGGTATCTGGGGGTAACAGGCAGAGAGCAAGAGGCCTGGTGTGAGGGACAATGCAGAGAAGTTGGTCACGGGGAGGAACTGGACTTGTTGAGCTTTAGAGTCCTTCTCAACCCTTAAGGTCTAAAGGTCCCAGAGGCTTGGATTCCACTGTTTTCTGATTTATTTATTATCTCACCTCCCTAGGAAGCAGCCTACAGTTCCATCATTCCATGATTCCATGGTTCCTCTGGGTAGCTTCAAGCAAAGGTTTCTTATTACTGTACTGACTCACTACCCAGCCAATCAGCAAGGCATCCAGACTCTAAAAGACTACCACAGACCTCATGAGTGGTCAAACTACAGCATCTTACCTTCTTGGGAAGGTGGTCCTGTCTTCTCTGGAGCTGAGAGGAGGTTGATGCACATGTAGTAGAGGAAACTGGAACACACCTGGTTTAGGGCTGAGTGACTTAGTGGGAGAAGAGGAAGACAGAACAAGAGAGTACATTGCTACTTTGGCTGGGACAGCATTATCCCTGCCATGTACTGGGGCACCACTGCTTTGTGCCAGAGCCCAATGAAGTTCTAACCATGGCCCTGGTAGAGAAGGTCTGGAGGTAGCTGTGAAAAGTGAATATGGAACCTGCTGCCCACAGATGTAACTTAGGCACTTGGCCCATATAGGCATTCACTAAAAATTTCCTGAAAAAAATAAATCAAGGAGGGCTACTAAGCTCCAATTTAATAAAACGTATAGGGCTTCCCTGGAGGCACAGTGGTTAAGAATCCGCCTGCCAATGCAGGGGACACAGGTTTGAGTCCTGGTCCGGGAAGATCGCACATGCCATGGAGCAACTAAGCCTGTGCGCCACAACTAGTGAAGCCCACACACCTAGAGCCCGTGCTCCGCAACAAGAGAAGCCACCGCATGAGAAACCCACGCACCGCAATGAAGAGTAGCCCCCACTCGCCGCAACTAGAGAAAGCCCGCACGCAGCAACGAAGACCCAACGCAGCCAAAAATAAAATAAATAAATTTATTTAAAAAATAAAATAAAATAAAACATAGAAACAAAAAAGTCCTCCTGGGTCAGGAAAGGGCTGAGGAGTACTAGAAAAAGAGGAAGCTGTTGAATCCAAAATGGGTAGCTGAGGAGAACTACAAAAAACAACTAAAATTGTGACTCTGAATCCAGGTGGATCCCTGTATTCCCTCCTGAATGTTGGTGTTCTATTCGGAGATATGGAAGGAGAGCTAGACGCTGCACTGAGGTTACCCTGAGGACTGCAGGCAGTAACAAGTGGAATCTGCTGAGTAAATGCAGACAGGTGGCAAATCAAAAATGGGAAGGCACGGAATGCTGTCCTAGAAGCCTAAAGAGACAGACTGAGGCAGCAACCTCTCTACTTTGAACAAAAGAGTCTCTCCTCTGGAATTGCTGGGCTGGCAGCAACTAGAACACGACTCTGTCTTGAGGGACACAGCATCGATTACCCTGTGAGGGCCTTGGTTTCCTTGTTTGTAAAATGAGGGGTTAGACAAATGATTTCTAAGAGCCCTTCCAGTTTTGATGTTACAGGTGCCCATCCAAGTATCACATGGAATGAAAGTCGTATCAGAACCAGACAAGTAAAAGCTACAGGAGCCCATCCAGCTCGTACCATCAGCTGCTGAGCAATTCCCACACTGTGTCAATCCCCCCCAAGGTCCTATGACTAAACCACACTAATCAGAAATTTCCACTTGTCCAGTCAAGAAGGACACTTGTCCCCTTGGGACCATACATACCTCAGGCCACTGCAGAACCTGGCCTTCAGTTCCAGGGTCAGTTGTATGAAGGATGAGGCAGCTTGGGAGAATTGAAAAGAAAGCAGAGAGCAATTTAAAGTAGACTTTTTACAGAGACTCCCAAGTCTGAGTGGTACTAGTTCTGGAATCACACAGACCCAGGTTTGAAATTTGCTCCATCACTATCTAGAAATGTGGCTCTGGAACACTTACTTAACTACTCTGAGACTCAGTTTTGATATCTATACCTCGAACGTTGTTGTGAAACTAAGTAAAATAAATGAATATAGAAGATCTAACAAATACTTAGCTCAGAGTAGGTACTGAATAAAAGTTCATCTTCCTTTCTGATGAACAGTCTGCATTAGCTGGTGACCCTGGCCCAGGCCCCTGCACTGCCTGACTCTCCTAGTTGCCCCGCTCCCACCCCGCCCTGCCATGCAGCTCTCTGTCAAAACTGACCTCTGTCCTGTCCATCCTTGGTCCCTGTAAAAGCAGTATTCTTGACAAGAGCTCCCACTATACCAGCTCCAGGGCTGGGGATAATCTTATTCTATTGCAGGGCTTCTGGTAGGGAATTAATCCCTCAGTTTCATAGTAACTTTCGAGGACAGCAGTTTAACCCATGGCTCCCTCAGCAGGGGAACGCCCAATTTGTCTGCTGGAAGGGTTCCTCGTGGTACAGACTCTCAGGGATCCAGAGTTTCTCCACCCCCAACTTCAGGTCTCTACCCCCTCTTGGCTGGCGGTGCCTGCTTCCCTCTTTTCTCTTGCAGTTTGGGCCCTGACCCTGTTCTCGCTGGCTTCAGGCTACATAGACCTCCCTGTAATCACACTTTCTCTACATGCCTTGCGCTCTGCACCACTGCCCCGCCGGAGATCTACACTTCTGAAGCTGCACCCATTCAGCACCCCAAGACCGGATTCTCTTGGCTCTTGAAGTATGGCAAGCAGAAAGAGCAGATGAAGGGAAGGAAAGGAGTATATGTCAGTTGTCACAATGACTAAGAGGTACACTCATTCAGGAAATCTACATATGTTGCCTCATTTCACTCCCATTATTATCACCATGTTCTAGTTGAGGACATTGCAGATAAGAAAATTAATTTGCCCAATGTCAATAAGCAAGGGATGTTTATTACACAACCCATATGTGCTAATCACAAAGGTCCTACTTTTTCCCCTCTTACACACAGCCTCCTACTGTCTCCTAGAAGTTCCTCCCACTTCCTACATGGAATAGCTTCCTAAGGGTTTCCTGTACTCTGTTCTTTTCCTAGAGAGAACAAAGATACCTCTGAACAGCGACAAGGGACCTCTCCAGGATGACCCAGACCATCAATCAGAAACTCGCTCAAAATCCCACATCAAATATACAGACAACTGCAAAAGGTATGCCCCTCGACTCCCCAGCTCTGGATCCTGGCCCCTCTCCTTTCCAAGGACCTTGCTCTGCTGAGTACCCCTGCATCTCTCTACTGCTCCTTCATATACACTGCTAACAGAAATAAGTGTTTCCAGTCTTAGGGGGTACTAAAATCCTTCCTAACTCCATGTCCCCTTCCAATTACACCCCCAGTTCTCACCTCCCCCCTTACACCAAACTTATGGAAAGATTTGCCTATTTTGCCTTTACTGCCTCACCTTGCACTCACTCTTCAACTCACTACAGTCCGGCTTACACACCAACCACTCACAGCAACTGCTCTGGCCAAGGTCACCAACAGCCTACATGATGCCAAGTCCAATGTACATTTTTCAGTCCTTGTCTTACTTGACCTCTGGGATGCATCTGACACTCATGACCACTCCCTCATCTACAAAACTCTCTTCACTTGGCTTCCCTAATGTCATCCCCTTCTGGGTTTCTTCCTACCTCTCCAACCATTCCTTACCAGTGGACTTTGGAGTAATCTGTTCCGCCTGACCACTAAATATTGTACTTTATTTTGTCTTGGTCCTTTGATCATCTCATTTTACACATTCACCATGAGGAATCTCACCTGTTCCCCACTAGAGACTCAGCCCCACAAGGACAGGGGTCTGTTTTGTTCACTGCTACATCCTCTGCCCTAGGACAGTGCCCTTCATGTAGCAGGTACCCAATAAATGTTTGTTGAATGATTGAAAGGCTGGATGATGAAAACTTCTATATTTATTGTAAAGAAAAAAATGCTGCCTGCTATTCCAGTTCTACAAGGATCAAGACATTAGCCAATGCAGTTCCTCAGCCCACCAACAGTGTACCCTGAGAGGAAGTCAGGATGGGGAAAAACAGGAAACATTCTGCACTTTGGATATACTGGCCCCTAGATAGTTAAGATGGCTATCTAAGGGAAATTTTCAAATGACCCCAGATTCTTGCATCTTCCCATACACAAAAAAAGGCACTAAAATCATTAACTTGAGATGTCCGTTTTTTGTGACTAGCAGTAATCTTTTTATGATTGACTACACGTTTTCCAAGCAAAAAAGTTCATATATATTGTGGCTTCCCGTTTACCTCTTTGGAGCAGTTCCTCAGAGCTATCTGAGAGGCTGTCTCCCAGGCTATAGTCCTCAGCAAGGTCCCCAAATAAAACTTAACTTACAACTCTTACATTGTGCGTTTTTCTTTCAAGTGACACTATATTTAAGACCAGATGTTTCCCATGACCTCAGACATAGTCAATTACCTACCTAAAAGCTCCACTGGGACATCTCACAGGCATCTCAGAGGTACCCTGATCCAAACTGATCACACCCTCTACTGCCTTCCCAAACCAGATCCTCCTCTAGGGAGCCTCCTCTCAATAAAAAACACCACCACCCACCTAGACGGCAGCCAGAAGCCAAGGCATTACCCTAAACTATTCCCTCTCCCTCATGCCCTACATCCAATCATTCCACCACAGCCCACCCCCCCACACACACACATACTACCTTAGTTCCTAACACCAACCTGAGTTAATGCAAGAGGTTGAACTTCTTGCCTCCAATCTTGCCTCCCTCTAACTCATGGTCCACACTGTTGCAAGAAGGATCTTTCTGAAACAGCAATCTGAGCCTGTCACTCTCCTTCTTTAAGACTCAATGATCCCAAGATAAAGTCCAAATTCCCAACCTGGTCAACAAGGCCCTTCATGACTGAGCCCTGGCTACCTCTCCATGGTAGACTTCCCACTGCATGCTATGTGACAGGAATAAAAGAAAAGACAGTAAATGATAATGATAAGGGGCAGGCATAGCATAAAGGTTAAGAAAGCAGGCTCTAGAGCCAGATTAGACTCCCTGAGTTTGAATCCTGGGCACACCACTTCCTGTGTGACCTTGGGCAAGTTGTCCAACCTAAGTTTCAATGTGCTCATCAGCAGAATGAAGATAATCATAGTACATACTCCTTAGAGTTTTTCTGAGAATTAAATGAATGAATACATGTAAACCACTGAGAACAGTATCTAACACATAGTAAGAGCTTAATATTATGTTAGTTATCATTAGTTATTAATGATTACTACCATTCTCTCTACTCCCTTTTCTGCTTTTGGCTATCTCCCCTTCCCATTCTCACCATCACTACCACTTTCTGAAGAGGATAAAGGAGACTCTGACTCTGATTCCTGGGCTTACTCTGCAAATTGAGGTATTTATAGGATGAAAACTGGAGACGTGGGAAAGGAAGGTTTATATTTTGAAGAGAAAAAATGACTAGTGAGGGAAGAAAATAAATACATGCAAGAAGACCTGGAGAAGGCTGAAGGAGTCAAGAGCCACTTGGGTTCAATTTTAGGAAGGCATTTCAGTACAGTATAGTTAGACAGCACTTTCACACAGAGTGCTACCACTCTTCTATAAGGCACTCGCAAGTACACAGGACATTTTTCAGTTGTCACAATGACTGGGGATACTTCTGTCATTCAGGGCTCAGGAGCTAGAGACACTAAACATCTTGTGAGGTCTGAGGGAATGTGGAGGATGAGAGTAATTAGGGGAAGGAGGTCTGTTGTGGGCTCTGAACTGGAACCTTCTTGACATTCTCAGAGAAGTGTCAATTAATTTGAGAACTGCCTTTAAGGACTTTTGATTGATGGATGATATACCCTTCCACTCAACACTAGGCAGAGTGTGGATGTTAATTCTGAATGAATACGTAAGCCTCCCATCCACAGGTTATGCACTCTTTAAGTACCCTGAGCAACTGCCTAAGGCGCCTGCCTCCCTCCCAACTTCCACACTTGCCTGCTGCCTACCAAGCTTCTTGGAGAATTCCTCCTTCATATGGGGGACGATGACAAAAAGGCTGTGCAGAACTGAGAGGAAAACCTCCATCAAGGCTGGATGAGTGGCCTGTTCCGAGTACCTCTGCAAAGAACCAAGAGGAAGAGCACAGTCCTCCAGGACTGAGCCTCTGAAGAAGAAACAGCATCAGCAAAAACTGCATCATCTAGCAATGGGAGACTAAATTCTTCCATTTCAAGGGCACAAGAAACACTAGGGGACCTGAAGTCACAAGCCTGCATCCAAGGCTTACATCTTCTGCCACTTGATAAACTGTTCAAGATTCATTACCGCTCTGGGCCTCTACCAAAGAGTAAAACAGAAATAACAAGTCCTACCTCCCAGAAACAAATGATATCTCATGTGTAAAAGTCACTTTCTAAACTGTAATGCAGAGTGACGCTCATGCTTCTAACATATAATAATTTAGTTTACAAACTTCCTTCACGTTTCTTTTTCATGTGATCATTGAACAGAATCATGAGGCAGCCTGATATGGTAGACAGAGCTCTGGATTAAGAGTAGAGAAATCTGAGTTCTATTTCAAGCTCTGTACGAAGTCGCTGTGTGCCCTTGGGTCAGTCACCCCCTCCCTTCTCGCTGTTTCAGTTCCCTGTGTGTAAATAGGCAGGGCCTCAGGGACATGGTTCTTACAGATACTTTTCATTTGGTCTTCAAACCAAGTTTTTTTCGACTAGAAAAGTAATACAAGCTCATTAAAGAAAATGTGTAAAATACAGAAAAGTAGAAAGCAACAATAATACAGTAATTCTATGATCTAGCTCTAGATCTAGCTCTAACGCTCCATAAATCTAGGAGGAAGGCAGAGCAGGTGAGGAAGGGCTACTGCTAGTGCGAGCCAGTCAGAGCTGCAATCCCGGGCTCCTGAGAGCTACCCACCTGAAGACCCTGGCACTCTGCCTCACAGGCTTCTTCAAGAAAAAGAGGCTCTCCTGTCAGAACCAGAGGATGCTCCCCTGCTGCCACCTACTGTTCCCAGTGGGTATTTTGGAGGTGTCCTTTCCCAACTAACAGTGGCTCCTCACAGGCTCACAGGATATCCAAACCTCAAAGAGGACAAGACTCACCCAAGGTCATCTGGGCAGTCAACAGCTCTGGACCCCGCTCTTCCTACTATCTCCATCTCAAGTCAGCTCAAACCCAGGGCTCTCTTCAGGTCTCTCACCTGTCATTTTACAGAACTCACATATGTGCTCCTTAGTGAAGCCTAGATCAGACATTGACTGCTACTCTTTACTAAGCAGAAAAATACATAGGTTCAAACCTCAGAACTGTCGTATACTTGCTTTCCAACCATAGAAAAATGACAACCTCATCTTTAAATTGGGGGAAATGATAGGACCTATTTCACAGGGTCACTGGGAGGGTTAAATTATGAATATAAGGCATTTCTCACTTCATAAACATTACCTATTTATGATTTTATTATTACTGCTTTCTACTTTTTTAAGAGGCATCTATTAATCTATTATTTACAACCAAACACTGTACTGTGATTTTAAAACCAAAGGAAAAGTGGCTGCAAGAACAACACTGCTACGACTCTCAGAAGGTCCAGCTGAGCAGTCGAGTCACTGTCTTGTGCCTCTCAGCCTGGCTTGCTCTCACATTCTTCTCCTCCCCAAGCTTCATGCTGTCCAAGGCTCAGGAAAACCCACCATCACCATGGGGATACACAAGGAGTCACAGGCACTGAGAAGAAATTCTGAGAAGGCCTCCAAGGTGTCTTCTTTCTCAGCACTGGGAGCTGTGAATGGATTCTCCTGGGCCGAAGGTTCGCTCTGGAATTCCACAGCCAACCTAAGAAATCAATGTGTGGGTATATCTACAACTACCTATGCAACATAAAGGTTAGAAGCATCCTCCTAGAGGGATACCTGAGCTCAGGGCTCAGGGAAAGTCTCCCGACCAGCAGATCTGGAGAAAATTCCAGACGCCTCAGTGAGGGAGAACCTGGTCTTTGGTCACCTCTTCAGCTTCGTGCTCCCTACCCTCTCTCCCATAACACATGACTCATCCACCCTACTACATGTATTTCCCTGAATATACCATGCTGTTTGCTGTTTCACATCTCTTTGCCTTTACATATGCTGCTCTCTCTACTTGGAATGCCTTCCCCAGGTTTGTGACAACGTAATGAATTCCACACATATAAACAAAACTGTCTCTTCCCCAGGAGACTGTGAGCTCCTTGTGGGTAGGAGCTAATCTGACTTACTTACCTTTCTACTCCCACTGTCTAGCACCAGGCCTGGCACACAGTAGATACAACAAATATTTGTTCGTGTGTACTGAATTAATCCAACAAGCATTCAGTGAACACCTATAGCACTAGGTTACTTGGGAAGAGGAACAAACCTGAGTGAGATACAACCTCATTGCACAGTAACAAAAACTTCGCCAGGAGGGAATCTTTAGAAACCTCCTCCACATAGCCATTCCATACCCCACACGCATCCCCAGCCTCCATCCCAGCCAAAGTCCTCTCACTACGCAGCAAAGCATCAGAAACCAAGTGCTGCTTCTAGAGCTTCATCCTTTGTCCGATTCCTTTCTACACCCACCCTCCATACTACTCCCTCATCAGACCACAGAGGGCCCCTCACCTGCAGGCATTTCTAAATCCCTCCAGAGTGCTCAGGAGAAAGCTTCCTCTTCGAAGAATGGTCTTCTCCGAATCTCTACTGGAGGCATGGCCCTGAGGTGAGAAGGAAAGAGGGGAACCTATTGGTCACGTACCTACTCCGTGTTCTGGTCTTTGCTTAGAGGACTACAGACTTCTTCCTCTCACACTGGAGTCTGGCATTCCCATACACCTAACAACTTCCAGGGGATCTTAGGTACATCCCCACAAATCCAGCCATCTAATAGCTCCTTTAAAACATGGTAGAAGAGGAAACCTTAACCACTTGTCTCCCTGTGAAGCACAGGACTGGTTCTTGTTCTGTTATACGCAGAAAACCGTCACAGGCTAGTGGACATTAGCCTAACTGGCTATAATGCCCGTATTATTGCTCCAAAACACACACAAAAATCCCCACCGCCTCAGGCGTGAAGAGCTTAGTTTCCAAAGTTAATCCTGAAAGACATAATCAGCACCCACGTTAATAGTATTTCTTCTGATATTTTAAGTCCATGGCCCATTAAAAGCCAACATTTATGACACAGTGCACAGTGGTCAGATTCTTTCTAAGATTATAGCGAATCCAGCCTTAAATAATCTTGTGAGCATGTTTACCATACCTGCTTGGATGATATAAAAGACAAAGTGGGGCTTCCCTGGTGGTGCAGTGGTTGAGAGTCCGCCTGCCGATGCAGGGGACGCGGGTTCGTGCCCCGGTCCGGGAAGATCCCACATGCCGCAGAGCGGCTGGGCCCGTGAGCCATGGCCGCTGAGCCTGCGCGTCCGGAGCCTGTGCTCCGCAACGGGAGAGGCCACAACAGTGAGAGGCCCGCATACCGCAAAAAAATAAAAATAATAAATAAATAAAAGACAAAGTGTGTAGTAGGCTTGAGTACAAACACCCTGGGATTTACTATCCAAACTCAGGTCCTTGCTAGCTTTGGACCTGAGAGAAAAACTATTTAACCCCTGCGACTTCAGTTTCATAATGAGGATAACGATTATTAAGTCCCACAGTTCCGCAGTTAGGAAAAAAAATAACATCTCATTGTAGGCGTGTGTGCATGAGAAAACCCTATAAAGTAGCATATAAAGGTAATGCAATGTACTAATTATCTTCCGAAAACACATTACAGCATGATCTCCAGAAGAAGCGGGCTGCAGTGCACTGACCAGGGGCCTCCAGTTCAACGGGATCTGGGAAAAATCTGCACACCGGCTCAGCATGGCTTTGAGCAAGGCCTGCAGCTCCTTGTACAGCACAGGTAGAGCACTCTGATGATCCTTCCTGCACCCAGAGAGACAAAGGTAGGCCTATGGTGAGGTAAGGGTACTCCAAGGTACCCTCAGGTTCTCAGGCAATGGGGGACAGGTGGTAGATCAGAACACGGGTCCAGGATCTGATCTGATAAAAACCCTTGCTCCAACACGTATCTGCTGCACGACTTCGTGCACATTCCTCATCCTCTCTAGCCCTCAGTTTCTTCATCTAGTCAATGAAAGTTAATAGTACTCTCCTCACAGAATTATTCTAAGGATCAAATTGGATAATGTATGCCAAACACTCAGCATGATGTTTGCTAGTTAGTAAGTCCTTATAAATGACAGCTAAGACTATTATTATTGTTATTAAAGATACAGAAGGTTTTCTCACTGAGAAGGGCCTCCCAGTGAAAAAAGTACTATCTAGAACAGAAGGTGGTCACTGTTCTCAAATAAGTGATAAACTGTCTTGGGGACGAGAGATCAAATTTGCTTTCTGTTTCCTTGATGAGGAAAATCAGGATCAATAGGTAAACGTTATCAAAGACCCAGATCTTATTTAAAGAATATAAGGAAGAACTTTCTAAGAGTCAAAACTCTATAAAGGGGGCTTCCCTGGTGGCACAGTGGTTAAGAATTCTCCTGCCAATGCAGGGGATGTGGGTTCGAGCCCTGGTCCGGGAAGTTCCCACATGCTGCAGAGCAACTAAGCCTGTGCGCCACAACTAGTGAGCCTGCGCTCTAGAGCCTGCGAGCCACAACTACTGAAGCCCGCGCGCCTAGAGCCTGTGCTCCACAAGAGAAGCCACCGCAATGAGAAGCCCGTGCACTGCAACGAAGAGTAGCCCCCACTTGTCGCAACTAGAGAAAGCCCGCGCACAGCAACAAAGACCCAATGCAGCCAAAAATAAATTAAATAAATAAATTTTTAAAAAAAGAAGAATGAAATAATGCCATTTGTAGCAGCATGGGTAGACCTGGAGATTATCTTATTAAGTGAAGTAAGTCAGACAGAGAAAACCAAATATCATATGATATCGCCTATATGTGGAATCTAAAAAAAAAATGATACAAATGAACTTATTTACAAAACAGAAAAACAGACTCACAGAAAACAATCTTATGGTTACCAGGGGGAAGGGTGGGGGGAGGGATAGATTGGGAATTTGGGATTGACATATGAACAGAGAGCAATCTGCTGGGCCTTCTAACAGGCACTCCATTAACTGTATATAGTGAAGGCTTGATTTCCCCTTTCCCTCTTCACTTCTGGAAGCTCTAACTTTCTATCCTACATTGACTGTCAAGCCCTGGTTCTGCCATCTTTAAATTCTTTCCGCAGTTCTCACTTTTCATTCCTCCTTCCGGTTGTGCTCCCCAGAGACCCTCTGAACCACTCCACCTCAGAGGGACCACCTCAGTAAAAATTCTGAAAAATTAAAGTCAAAAGTAAAATTATCTAAGGATTAATAACCAGCCCCCTACCCACAGCTCTCCACAATTCTGACCCAACCAGCTTTCTGGCTTCTTCATGTACTACTCCCTTTCACACAAACTGCTGGCCAGACTGGCTACCGTACCCTCAGTAATCCCTAAATTTTCCTACCTACATGTTTTGGCCAACCCTGGTCCTTGCACAAATCTAAATCTCTCTCATCCCTCATAGCACAGCTCAAATACTACCTCCTGCCTGAAAGGTGCTAAAGGTGCTACCAGTCCCCCATAACACTGACCTCCTGGGAGATTTCCAGCTCTGCATGGGAACTTCTGATTGACTCTGGCTCTTACTCTATGTCTGTGTTACCCTGTTGGTTTACTCATCTCACCCTTGTTGGGATTCATGCCCCAGATTTAGAGATTCAAATCCAGGAAAGGACAAAAGGGGAAAAGAGACAAACTGAAGCCATTATAATGTAAATGCTATTCTTTTATTCAATTTTTAGAAGCAACCTAGAGTCAAGTGATGAAGACTTAAATATAGTTACAGAAGAGACTATAAATGTTAACAAACTTTACAATATAAAATTAAAGGTATAGGAAGTTCCCTGGTGGCGCAGTGGTTTCCACCTGCCAATGCAGGGGACACGGGTTCCAGCCCTGGTCCGGGAAGATCCCACGTGCCGCAGAGCAACTAAGCCCGTGCACCACAACTACTGAGCCTGCATTCTAGAGCCCGCAAGCCACAACTACTGAGTCCATGTGTCACAACTACTGAGCCCGCATGCCACAACCACTGAAGCCCACGCACCTAAAGCCCACGCTCTGCAACAAGAGAAACCACCGCCACGAGAAGCCTGCGCACTGCAACTAGAAGAAGCCCACGCGCAGCAACGAAGACCCAACGCAGCCAAAAATAAATAAAGAAATTTATAAAATTTTAAAAAATTATAAAATAAAGTCCCCAATGGACATTTCACTCCCCAGATCTTCCTTTTAAAATAAATAACTAAATAAAATTAAAGGTACAGCTGACATTGAGAAGTAGACGGTAAGGAGGAGAAGGGAAAGAAAGAGCTGGGGTGCTAATATACTCAGCTAACGAAGTAGGGTGTCAAGAGGTACTGCTTCAAGTTGAGGGAACAAGAAACACAAGTTTTAAGTATATTATTTAAAAATTTGAAAACATAACATCAATTAACACAAAATAGTAACTAGCAAAAATGCCAAGGAAGTGTACAGAAGACAAAATAATGTGACCTAAGTCTTGTTTTTCTTATTGGCAAGTCAATGAATAATGTTCTAAATTGACAAATAAAGAAATAGCATTACAAGCATATTGTTTAGATTTAGGGAGATAAATCACCAGAACTAAAACCAAAATGAGTTAAAATTAGTTTCCTTTAGGAAGTGGGGACAGGGGGCTGTTCCTTTTCATTATAAACCTTGTGTGTATTTTATTTTTTATCACTTAAATACATTACTTTGTTAGATTTTTAAAAGGGAGGGCGTGGAAACAAAGTAAAATTTTCTATATAAATAAATATGGGTTATCCTCCATTAGTTTTCTCAAGATATCAAGCATCTTACTAAGGAATGATTTCCCATCATGACCCTAGGATTGCTTAGTCTCACCATCCATTTTAACATCATTCATATACTGAGTATCTATTAGGAGTGAGGCACATAGCAGTGAAAAAAATGACATGGTCCCTTATCTCCTGGAGATTATTTTATATAGTGGAGGAGACACAGAACAGATGAATAAACAAGAACTGTCAAGTGTCTGGTAGGTGCTGTAATAGCCAGATGGGTCAGTTAGGGAAGGACACTCTGAATGAGACCTGAATGATGGGAAGAGTCCAGTCATGCAAAGATTTCAGGGAAGAGTATTTTGGGCAGAAGGAAAAATTAGTAGAAAGGAAGTGGGGGCAAGGTCTGGACTAAAACAAATGACCTAGTTTTAAAAAGTTACATCCACAAAATAAATACAGAATAAAATCCTATTTAAAAAAAAACACGCAGAGAATTGGAAAGAACTCTTCCAAATTAAAAATATGAAAGCAGAAATAAAACACTCAATAGTAGAGTTGAAAATAAAGTCAAGAAAATCTCCTGGAAACTAGTACATAATGACAAAAGGATAAAAAACTGTCAGACAAAGAAAAGAAGGAGATGACCAATCCAGGAGGCCCAACATCCAAATGGCAGTTCCAGGAAGACAGAACAGAGTAAACAGAGCAGCGGAAGAAAGAATTCAATGAAATTTCCCTGACCTAAAGGACAAGTATCCCCTGGAAGCTGCTCTGGCCTTGACAGGCCCTCGGGTACATGCAGGGGTGGAAAGTTCGGCCTGTCTGGGTCTCTCACCTCAGAAAGGCAGAAATGGCCTTCACTGCCTCAGCAGCCACCTCCAGCACAGGGCTGTTCACTGCCTCTTGGAGGGCACGGCCAGCATCTCTGCACAGGGCTGAGCTTGGGAACAGCTTGATCTCCTCTGGCTGCCTGAGAAATTGTAAATGAGAAATGAGTGTGTGAACTATCACTGACCCCACCAGGAATAAATATCTCACTTCTTTCCTTCTCCAGTCTGGCCCCTACAGGCCTGACGCGTCACTACTTTGCTCACCGAGTCAGGATCTGAGCAAAGAGCAGCAGGCCCTGCTTGTGCAGCTCGGTGTTGTTCATCCTCAGGATTCCCTGTAGGCTCCTCACCACTGACTCGATCCCTACCGCAAAATGACATGGCAGAGGCCAGGGATCAGGGCTTGTTGGCTTCTTTACTGCCTTCCCAGGAGAGATGAGAGGCTCTGGACAGCACATATTTGCTAGCAGCCCTCATGGAGCAGTCCTGACAAGTTGAGCTGATGGGACAGGACTGTGAGATCTTTGAGGGAAGGCCCTTATCTGATTCATCTCTGTCTCCCCAAACCCAGCACAACCCAAAGCACGACCCTGGCATTCGAGGTATTTAGTCAATACCTACCGGCTGAGCTTCACCTTCTCTACTACACGCACTCCTATTTCTCCTCAAAGAATAAGGTAGGACATCCACTCCTCCAGGAAGCATTCCCTGGTCCACTCAGGCAGAGCTGTGGGCCTCCCCTGAGCTCCTACATGTCTTGTACCTCCCCCCTTGCACAGTCTTAATAAGCTTGCTTATATCTCCCTCCGCTTCCAGAGGACAGGGACCACATTTTATGTATCTCTAAATCTCTAGGTTCCAGCCTGGTGCCTGGCATAGAATAAGAACACAGAATATAAAATGAGTAACTAAATGTGCCCAGTCTAAAAATCTAGATGTGATATAAAAAGTCCCAGACAAGAAAGGTATCACCAGGAAAGAAGAAGGGACAGTTTCAAAAAACTTTGAAAGGATAAATCAGCAAAACTTGGGGACTAACTAGATGGATAGATATCTGGGGCGCAGGAAAAGACTGAATCCAAGGCTGAGTAAAGTTGCTCTTAAGGTGCAACAGGAATTCATTTAGTGGCCCTTCTCTTGCTAAACATATATACTGCCAATCAATGAAGAACAGAACTGTTTGGATATCACTGCTTGCACGTGGAATCTGGTAATGAGTTTGGGCTGATGGAAATGACCAGACCAGCACCCCTCTCCAAGGTGTAGGCCTACCCCCGTCACTGCTGTTGCCACCTAACTTCAAAGTGCTGTCCACCTGAGCGAGAGCTAGTACAGGACCCACAATACCAACCGTACACCGTGTGGCACTTGGAAAAGAAGAGTGGCTCTTCTGCCAGAAGTATCAAGCAGTTGTAGCTGGACCAGACAAGCACTTCACTGGAAGAGGAAAGATGCTCAAAGAGGAACTCTGGCCAGGGAGACAGGGAGAAAACAATCAATGACAACAGTGTAATCATGATCCCTTAACTAATGCTATGGCCTTGGATTTATTCAGCATCTCACACCTGCCACTTCAGCTGTTCACACACCCTCTTGACGAGACATGATCATTCATTCACAGATAAACCTGGAAAATGCCCTCAGACTTATGGTGTAACCTTATCTTTTTAATAGATGGGGAAACTGAGACCTAGAGAGAAACAGTTGGTGGTAGAGGCGGGACTGGAATTCAGGTCCCCTAATTCTCAGGATGGGCAGCAGCATGATACAGAGAAAAGAGATTTTAGAGCCAGACAGCCTTGATTTTGTATCCCTTCTCTGCCAATGCCGAGTCTTGCTGATTTAAACCAGTTATTTCCCTTCTCTAGTTCAATTTCCTTATTCATAAAATAGCAAAGATGAGGACCTAAATGTGGCAACATTTGCGATGCACCTCAGGGCATATTTCCTGGCTCATAACAAACCTTCAAGACACATTAGTTCCTTTTGCCTCCCTGGTCCACGGGTCTTTCCACCACCCCACGCTAGGTGTTTATTCCTAGGTGGTCAAATTAATGACAAAGTTCAGTGACAAACTGCTCAAGGTCATATTAGAAATCTGTAGCAAGAGGATTCAGACTTCATGAGGTCTATTTCCTAGAGTCTGTCATATACAATAAACATGCCACCAACCATCCCTCCAGTATGCATATCAAAGAACTCCCAACAAGACTGCTGCTGCTGGTACTCAAGGGTCTCCAGGCACAACTCTGGGATCCTCAGAGGAGAAAGTTAGAAGGGGCCTCCTACCTGGGATGTCAGCATGGATGAAGGCTGGGGCGTGCTTCGCTGGCGAGTGGACCAGTACTGCAGTTATACAGTGGGCACTGGCCACCTGCAGAGTCTCATCTCTGGAAAGGAGAAGCTGGAGAAACAGGCAGCAAAATGTGTCACAGTCACACCACTGACAGGACCAGAGGGAAGCAGCCTGAATGCCTCAGGGCAGGAGCCTGATTTGTCTCTGAATCCCTCACACACTACTGGTGCCAGGCATAAGGATGGTGCTCAAGGAGTGCAGTTATAGATTATGGAAAGGAGTCTCTGTCAACAGCAGCAGGAGAGAAACAGAACAAAAGAACACAATGGCACTCAAAGAACACTAACATCATCCCCAAGAAGGGCTCAAGCCTTCATTGGCAAAAGTACTTTCACAGCCCTCATCTGGTTTTGATGTTTCAACAAGCCTGGGACATAAGGGAAGGTTCTGCTATGAGCCTTGCTTCAAAGAATGTGCAGAAAAGAGTTAACATTGCAGGCCTGAGTCTGTTATCCTTAGAAAGTCCTGCCTGCAAGGTTGGCCACTCACTGGGTTTGGGAAGTTGAATTTCAGGAGGGTTCTCAACCCTCCAAGAACTGGTAAAAGTGGCTCACTGTGACTAAACTATTTGCACAAGCAATGCAGTTTATGCTGAACCCACCCCTACTTTCTTTCTGGAAATCTAGAATTTTGGTATGTGCTAGGCAGAGGGTGCCTCTATAACCAGCCAGCTCCCAATTAAAACCTAGGGCACAGGTTTTAACTTATCTTTTCATGACTGAAAGAAAACCAACTTTGAGCCTTCTAATAGCATATTGTTTTGGCCAGTAAGAAAATACTTAGGAAATCCTGGATAGAAGGAGTGGTAGATAAGGAAAAAGGCCCAGGAAGCTTTCAGGTTCCCTTGTTATTGAACCCAGAGACCACGAACCACAAGACAACTACCTTTTTGAGCACCAAAGGCAGTGAGGTCTCTCCTGGTGGCCCCTCAACACTCTCAGTACTTTCCACCAGCGCAGATTTGTTCATGATCATGGACACAAAGAGGTCATACTTCAGCAGCTGCCTCAGCAAACCTAGAAAACAAAGGGGTTGGGAAGTGAGGCAAGAGGAGCATAGGCACCAGAATACACCCAAGGCAGCTCCTCCGACTTCCCCTAGAAACTTCTTCATGTCTCCATAGATATTCCTAAGTATTTTATTCTTTTTAATGCTGTTGTAAATGGGACTGTTTTCTTAGTTTCTTTTTCATATTGTTTGTTGCTAGTATATAGAAACACAAGTGATTTTGTATCCTACAATTTTACTGAATTCATTTATTAGTTTTAACAGTTTTTAGTGTAGTTTTTAGGGGTTTCTATATATAAGGTAATGTCATCTGAAAACAGAGTCAATTTTACTTCTTCCTTCCTTTACTTCTGTCTCTTATTTCTTTCTCTTGCCTAATTGTTCTGGCTAGGACTTCAAGTACTAGGCTGAATAGAATCCCACCTTTTTCTTTGCAATCTCCACGAAAGCATGTACCACAATGGACTCTGATCACATCTGTCCTCCACATTGGGCTATGAACTCCCACAGATGAGAGCCTGGGTTTGATCATCTTTATGACCCCAGAGCCCAGAACAGGGCCTGGCTCAGAATGAACACTCTCTATGTGTGGCTGAACTAGTCATAACAGAGCTCTTGGCCCAAACTGTGAAAAGAAATTGTTGTTACCCACAGACTATGCTTTTCCCTGTAGCTCCTGCTCTGAAACAGGTCCTCACCCAGTCACCAATCACAGTGCCCATTTGCTCTATCCAAAATACAAAAGCTCCCTGCTCAAAAGCATTTAGTAGATCTCGTGTATTTATGTAAGGAAGTAACAGGAGAGGCTGAAAGGGTACACTGAGCTTCAAATAACAAGCAGAGAAACTTGGACTTCACTCTGGAGGCCAGAGGGAGCCATAGATGATTTTCCAAATAGAAGACTGACAGGATGCAAGCTATGCAGTGTGAAGATTAATTTGACAGCAAGTACAGGATGCACCAGGGCATGCAGTAAAGACCAGAGGCAAAAAAATTGCTGTCCCACTCTTCTTCCTCTTCTCCTTCCAAAGATGACGTTCTTAGGATACCACACCCAACATTAGGCATCTTTCGCAGTCTGTGCCTCTTATCTCCCAAACCCACAGCTTCTATCCGTTGCAAAGCAGCAAACCTCCCCACCACTAGTGAGCCAATATCTCAAATCCTCAAGCAAAACCTCAAAAGCTTTCTCTTTTCTCTCCAGTCCCATGTCTTACCCAAGCAGTTGATCTTTAGCTCCTTTGTCTGGGCACCATCCATGGTGGAAAGGAAGAGAGGACACAGTTTCTCCCGGAAATGGCCCAAAAGCATCTCGGCTGCAACTGGTGAGGAGTACAGCTTCCCATAAAGGTAGCAGACAGAAGCTTGCACCCCCTCACTGGGGTATACTAAACCTCTCAACAGATGTTCCATCAGGTCACCTATCCAGAAAACAACCAAGGGGCCAGGGGAACCTCACAATGTCAACTGCTAGATGACACTCCAAACTATTGCCCTGAATGGAATAGTGATGGTAATCCCCTACAATGCCCCACAATACATGATTTCTGGGAACTTAATCAAAAGGGAAAACCAAGGCTTAGAGAAGTTAAGTGATTTACCCTTGGATAAATACTCTGTGAGATATTTATCTGCTTTTACTGATAGAAAAAAAGTGCTTCTATATTCCAGAATTAATTCTTCCTCTCACCTGAAAGGAAGGCTCATAGTAGGTACTTAATTCTTTTGTGTTAACAAAATGAATTGAAGGAGCCCAAGACCAGAGTTGAGAAACACTTTTTTTTCCAATTGGCCAACATAGAGCAGATTTTGCAGATGGGGAAACTAAAGCTTAGAGAAGGAAAGTAATGACTTCCCAGATGTACACAGTGAATGGACCACCCAGATGGAAGTGTGATCAAAACAGGTGAAAGGGTAGTGGTAGCTCTTCCCCAGAGGTCACTCACTGTGCTCCATCACAAGCTTGTCTGCCAGAGCAGGGATCGCATCCACCAACTTGCCGAGAAGGGTCAGGGTGGCCAGGCTGCCTCGCATGGAGGGCATGTTACACAGCTACAGAGAGTGAACATACTCTGCTCTATAAATTAGGATCAGGACAGATCTCCCACCAAAATTCATCTTGCCCTATCCACACCAAACCCTGTACTGCATGTGTCTCTCACCACAGTCAGTAATCAGCCTCTTTAGCTAAGTGTCTATATCCCCTATTGGACTGGGAAGTCCCGAAGGAAAGGGACTGAGTCAGATTCCTCTCAGTGTCCTCAGTACCTAGCTCAGTACATGTTTGTTAAACTAAATTAAAATGAGCATATTTTGCCTCCTATGGAGCCAGAAACTGGGAGGTGAAATTTGGGAACATCATAAAGATGGAATTCTAGTTTATTGCAAAAAAAAATTGGTTATCATCATCATTATTGTTATATTATCACTGAACCCTCTATTTGTCAGGTACTATGCTTGATGCTTTACAGGCAGAGTCAATAGTAAATATTTCACCTTTTCTACTGACTAGCTGTAGTACCTTAAGTAAGATTCCTAACTCTTCTGGTGGGAATTAATACTAGGACCAACTTCATAGGGTTGTTGGGAGGACTAAATGAGACAGTGCATGTAAAGCACCAACATAGTGCCTAGCATATAGAAAGTGCTCAAAATGTTAAGTGGCATAATCATAATGATAAATGTTGATATATATAATTATAAATTCAATCATATGTTAACCACATGCAGAGTAATTATAATGACATGATTATTTAACATTATTTCTAATTAAATGTTGCTCTTGATGGTGTTAAATGAACATTTGTCTTCCTTTTGCAAAAAAAAAAAAAAAGTGACTCTGATATTATTCCTAAATCTTAAACACAATGCAGAAGCTGCTTGTTTAACTGATATCTGTGGCTACATTGAAGAAAGCTGGTTAAATATACCTTCTCAGTGTTTACCTTAGATGCTGATAAAAGCAAATGCCTTCAGTATAAAATAAACCAAACAAAAATACTAAGGCAAGAGAGCAGTTAGTGAACATATTTCCTTAATAGTGAACATATTTCCTTAATAAATTCATCAAGGAAATCTGTATTATATTTAGGAGGATATAGAGAATGGCCATGGATGATTACGCCAGAAAATGGACTTCAGCACATGGAGGCAGCATTTGGGAGACTGAAAAGGGAAGGAAAGAAGCTACAAAGAGTACTGGAGCAGAAGACCCAGGCCCTAGCTCTGGCTCTGCCACTGACTCAGTGACCTCAGGCAAGTCCCTTTTCCTCTCCGGATTTCAATCTCCCCATCTATCCAAAGAAGGGTTGACCCAGCTCTGACATCTGAGGATTCTGAGGGGTACTCAAGAACCAACAGCTACTTTACTGACCTCTTTGTGACACTCATACAGCAGGCAATGAATGGTCTGCTCCAACTTCAGCTGAGTTGTAAGCTGGATAAGGACTGAGAAGACACAATAACATTACTAATCAGAAGACAACCCATGGCCCACAGTTCACTTTTCATAGTCCTTCTAATCAAAGTCATTTGCTTGTGGTAATCGGCATTAGTCTTTTCTATCTCCCCCATTCTTCACTGTTTTTAATCAATGGCTGACAACTAGGCTGTACATTAGAATCACCTAGGAAGCTTAAAAAAAGAAAAAAAAAACTAACACCCAAGTCCCACCCCAAACCAATTAAATCAGAATCTCTAGATAAAGGGTCTAAGCATCTGGATACTTTTTTTAGTTTCCCAGGTGAGTCTATTGTGAAGCCAAGGTTGAAAACTACTATGTTATTTCTACCTTTTTCCTTCCTCAGAATTTGCTACTTCATATATGAAAAAAACAGAATTAGGAGTTAGTTCCTGTGCCAATAATTGGCGATAATATTATCACTCAACCCCAAACCCGCCCTTCTATACAATTGTTTGTGATACTTCTGCTGGTGTCTTTGAGGAGGAGTAAAGAAGAGGCTGGCTCTACAAGTCTGGGGAAAGCTGCAGACTAGATCTGGCTGCTGCTGAGGGAAGGCTCTGCCACCTCCAGGGTAAAGAAGCATTCTAGGACATCACTCACAGAAACAGGAAGACAGGAAGCAAACAGGAAACAGTAAGGAAGGAGCAAGTCCTTCTCCCTCTAGCTTTGCAATCTCCATCTAGTATCCACCACCTCAGTGAAGTTCCTGGGATCTGATGAGGGTTCTGCAAGCTATGCTGGTACCAACCAGGAGCAGATGGCTTTAGGATTATAGCCCCACTCAAGAGTGGTCTTGAGGAAAATGGTGAAGGGAAATCTCCCCACCCCTGCCAGTTGTCGGACCTTCGAGGGGTACATCTGTTTGTCCACATTCTCTAGACTGAGAGATGGGCAAAAGTACATACAGATCATATTGATTTATCTGTCACAGCTGCTAGCAGTTACAGCTGCTAACTGCATGTCTGGATAGTCATGGACCCAGCAGCAGCCAAGCAGCATCCTCTCCTCAGAGGTTTGTGTTTCATGTATGGGGTCCTTCCTCCAAACTTGTAAGTCTTAATAATTCCAACCTCTCCCTTTGTTTCCCTATCCCTAGGGGTGGAAGCTGTTTTCAAAAATTGCTACCTCAGCGAAACTTGGTTCACTTTTGCCTTCAGTGACCTAGTCAATAATTCTTTAAAGTTTTTTTCTGTTCAAATAATTTGTGTGGTTTATGTTTCGTGACTATAACCTAACTGATACAGTTCTTGCTCTTTCGGCAAGAATCCTCGCATCCCAGGGACTTCCCTAGTGGCGCAGTGGTTGGGAGTCCGCCTGCCAACGCAGGGGACATGGGTTTGAACCCTGGTCCAGGAAGAGCCCGCATGCTGTAGAGCAACTAAGCCCGTAAGCCACGGCTACTGAGCCTGCACTCTAGAGCCCACGTGCCACAACTGCTGATCCCGCGTGCCTGGAGTCCATGCTCCACAATGGGAGAGGCCACCACAATGAGAAGGCTGCACGCTATGGCGAAGACCCAACGCAGCCAAAAATAACATAAAATGAAATGGATAAGTTTATTAAAAAAAGGAAAAAAAAGAAAAGAATCCTCTCATCCCAATGCTCTTGTCTTCCTTCTTCTTGAGTCCTTTATAGGTAAACCCAGGCACTTCCACCGCCTATGTGGAGACAACTTCCAACCAACCAATATGAATGTAACAAAAACAGAGTTTTGTACATGTCTCTGTAACAGCACTCATCAGCCCTTGTTATTTACCAGACAATCTCTCTTCCAGATTGTAAACTCTTACAGGATAGGGACCATGTCAGATACAACGCTAGTGTCTGATACAGTACGTGGCACAGAGTAGGTGTCCAAGAAAGAAATGCAAAATTAATGATTGATAATTGAATTTTCTTTATTTGTCTCTAAAATGGAACATTTCATCAAGGTCTCAAATAATCAAAGCTGCAATTCAGGCTAATATCCCCGGCTTCAAATGCTAGGTACACACAGTTTAATCTTACCTTCAATACAGAGGTCTGTTATACTCCCATCCTCCACATTGCATAACAGTCCTTGGAGCAGAAGGATGTAAGAGGGGGATGGTTAACAGATAAAAGACAAACAAATCCAGAAAGGCACACTGTGAATTCTAAGACTAACAGCAGCTTTAAGCAATGTCCCAGCTAAAATCTATCCTCAGCACCAAACCCTAGATTTTCAGTAACCCACTCTGGCTTTAAAAGGATAAAAATAGTCAGTATGGCACAGCACAAAAACTGTGTGTTCTGGAGTCTCTAACAGACCTGGAGTAAAATTCCAGTTCTGCCAGCTGTTAGCTAAGACCTCCCTGAGCCTTGGAGATCATCCTCTCTCCCTTAAAAGACTGCCCTGGCAGTTAAAAGCCTGAAAAGCCTCCGGCAGAGAAAAGCACCCAATTCGAGTTAGCTCCCTTCCTCCCTAAAAGGGCTCATTCCATAGGACATTATAATTGTATTAAAAGAAGGGACCTTTTGGGCTTCCCTGCTGGCGCAGTGGTTGAGAGTCCGCCTGCCGATGCAGGGGACACGGGTTCGTGCCCCGGTCCGGGAAGATCCCACATGCCGCGGAGCAGCTGGGCCCGTGAGCCATGGCCGCTGAGCCTGCGCGTCCGGAGTCTGTGCTCCGCAACGGGAGAGGCCACAACAGTGAGAGGCCCATGTACCGGGGGAAAAAAAAAAAAAAGAAGGGACCTTTTAATCCATCTCATTTTACACATGAAGAAACTAAGGTACAGAAGAGAAGAAGTAACTCAATCAGGGTCACACTCAGATCAGCAGACTCCAGATCTGACTTCTAATCCTGTTCAAAGACCACAGAGACTGGACTTTTTGAAAGATCACACATTTCCTACATTCATCTTCACACTTTTACTAACCTCTGAGCTGTGGTAAAGCCAGTTACCATACAATGCATCGTGTATCTTAGAAAGGGGACAATTTCTTCATTATTATGACAAAACAACTTACTAGTAAGTTAAACTGTTACATCGCAAAAAGTCTAAACTATGGTTTCAAGACCATTTCTCCAAGACCCCAAAAGCAAATGTACAAGGTATACATGCAAAATTCATGCCAAGTTTTCCTTTCAATCTCACCGAAAAGCATGCTTATGAAGTGGATACAGACTCTCTGATCCTGAGCCACCAGCTGCATGACCAGGGAGGCATGCCTCATGAGAGCATCTCGGAAGCCGGACAGCACGTGCTTCTTGCGCACCAACTTGGAGCAGATGAAGAAAAATATTCAATAGCAACCAAGTCTCAGCCATTCTGAACCCAAACAAGTGTAATTTCCAAATATAATTACAAGATAATACTGGTAGAATCATCTAAACTATGGAGCATGAAAAAGGGCATCATTTACATACAGGAATCCATGTGTTCAAACAAAGGATTATACAAGAGTGAAGGTTCCTAATAAAGTATATTTACATAGCACTTTACTGTTCACAAATCACTCATTTGTCAACTAGCTCATTTAAGCCTAATGAGTTGGTAAAGCAAGCAAAAACAGATATTATTATCGCCATTTTGGAGATGAGAAAACTGAGGCTCAGGCACCTTCCCAAGGACTCAAATCTAAGTATCCAACCAGGTGTTGTCCGAGGTCAGGGCTCTTTCCACAGTCTGTGAGAGTGATACTGGGGACCATTCATGAGCCTCACCGAGGTAGGTAGAGAAAAATTCATTCTTCCTTTCAATGTAGATATAAATCTTCACACTCAATTCACCTCCCTATACAGGGAACTGTGTAGCAGCTGTGCAAAGTACTCAAGACAATAGCAAAACTTAGGTCAAAAAAGGGGTGTGCACCGAGGACAGAACTGGAACATGGGTACAACTGACTACATCACCCCTTCGACTGGTGAAAACTGAAGCTAAGAAAAGTGTGTTCAATGAAAGGTGGAGAAGTTGCATCTCTTATTGCCTCTAAACTGTGTAAGTCTCCTGTTCTCCTTCACCAATTCCTCCCACATAATGCATTAAGCTAGTGATCTAAATGAGTTACTCAAAAATTTTCCATGACGTCCCTTCACCTGACAGATTAAATCCAAGCTCCTTAGCTTGCATTCAAACTCTTAAAGGAACTGATCTCAACCGTGGCTCTCCAATCTCATCTCCCTCAACTGCCCTTCAAATACATTCTGATTACCTCCCAAACTCATCCTTGCTAATCCTTGCCTCCTGGAAAAAGCTCCCCCATTTCCTCTAGCCCAAATCTCACCCATCTTCTCAAGCGTAATTCAAATGCTTCCTCCTCTAAAGAACCTTTCCTAATTTCACTCCTTAACCCACACAGCACTTGACCACAAATATGTCCACCTTCTAGATTCCCAGGAATGCAATCTCTTATTTTCTTCCCTACCTCATTGTCTTATTCATCTCTATGTCTCACTGTCCAACAATGGCAGCCTCAGAACTCTAGCCTCAGTGATATTGCAGATGTTACCAGCTAGCCCAGCGGTTCTCAGAGCTGTCTTTGGATCCCTGAGGGTGCCCAGAACACTTTCAGGGGATCCACAAGATCAAAATTATTTCTGTATAATACTAAGATGCTATTTGCCTTTTCCACTTATTCTCTTACAAGTGTACAGTATTTTTCAAAGGAGGCATGTCACAACAGCTAAAATGCAGAAATATATGAGAACCCAGCTGTCCTCTATTAAGCCAGACATTAAAAAGATTTGCAAAAATGTAAAACAAAGACATTCCTTACACTCTTTTTTGCTTTGAAAATAGTTATTTTTTAAATCATTTATGCCACAGAACTGTTCACTAAAATAGTAAATTGTGTGTTATCAATACCTATATTTTGCCAAAATAAAAAGAATTATATTAATATGTAATGGACTATTATTTTTATAAATTTATTTATTTTTGGCTGTGTTGGGTCTTTTCTGCGGTGCACGGGCTTCTCATTGCGGTGGCTTCTCTTGTTGTGGAGCACGGGCTCTAGGCATGCGGGCTTCAGTAGTTGTGACACACAGGCTCACTAGTTGTGGCGCACAGGCTTAGTTACTTCACAGCATGTGGGATCTTCCCAGACCAGGGATCGAACCCGTGTTCCCTACATTGGCAGGTGGATTCTCAACTACTGCACCACCAGGGAAGCCCTACTATTATTTTTAAATGAATCCTTTAAACTTTTGTTATTTTTAATACAGTAAATAAACAAAAGCTCTTTGGGGGTCCTCAACACTTTTAAAAAGTGTAAAGCCAGACTTCCCTGATGGCACAATGGTTGAGAATCTGTCTGCCAATGGAGGGGACAAAGGTTCAATCCCTGGTCGGGGAAGATCCCACATGCCGCGTAGCAACTAAACCCGTGCGCCACAACGACTGAGCCTGTGCTCTAGAGCCCGCGAGCCACAACTACCGAGCCCACATGCCACAACTATTGAGCCCGCGTGCCTAGAGCCCGTGCTCCCAACAAGAGAAGCCACTGCAATGAGAAGCCCGCCCACTGCGACGAAGAGTAGCCCCCCTTGGCCGCAACTAGAGAAAGCCCGGTAGCAGCGAAGACCCAACACAGCCAAAAATAAATAAATAAATAGTTTTTTAAAAAGTGTAAATCCATCCCTAGAGCAAAAATTTGAGAACCACTGATCTAGCTCATCCCCCACCCACCCACGGCAACAATTCCAGCCCTGTGACTCTGAGAGAACAGTCATCTCCCAAACTCTTCTTGGAGGTCTCCACGGACAAAAAACTCACTGCGAAGGTGGGTAGGCATTGAAGGAACAGGCAGGCCACGCTTCAGCCAGCTCTGCCTGTCAGAAAGCTCTTCCCCTCACCCCACTCCTGCTGGGCGGTAACTTCCACTCGTCCTGCCGCCACTGAGCCCAAGGAGCCCCCTCCTCCCATTCGCACAGTCAGAAAGCGAAGGAATAAGCCCCCAGGGTGCGCGCGCCTTGCCCTCAGGCTGAGCGGGGACTCAAGTGGGAGGGAGCCTGAGTGAAGGCTAAACCCTGGAGAAGTGGTGAGAGGGTCGGCAAAGGGCAGGGCAGCTGAGAGAAGGGCTTACGGGAAGGTGGGAACGCGCGCCAGTGCGTCTAGGCTGGGGGCCCTGGGAGCCCCGGGTTTAGTGCGGACAGGGTAGGCCCACTTGAGGCGCAGGGCCAGGGTCTGGGCCTCCTTGGGGAAGGGGATGCTGAGCGGTCTGCGGGGTAGGCCGCCGTGGCCGGTAAGGGGGTGGGCCTGTTTAGGGGCTAGATTTAATGAGGCGGGTGGGCCCGGCTTAGTGTCGGGGAAGGTGCGCTCGGTTGAAGGGAGTTGCTCCCGCCCGGTTGGTGAGGGAAATGCCAGTTCGCACCGATACGCTAGGCTCTGGCAGCAGCTCCAGCGCGCAGGCCAGGCAGAGGCGTGGGGGCACGGGCAGCAGCCAGCGCGGGTCGTGCCGGTAATGGGCCCTCTCAAAGAGCAGCGCCGCCTCTTCGTCCCTCCCGGGCCTGGGAAGGCCTGCCGCAGGCTCCCTCACAGACATCTCTCCGCTTGCGTTCTACCACGGCAGCACCTTTTCCCGCGCAGTTCATGCGCAGGCGCACTTGGCAGAGCTCGACACGGACGCGTGGGGAGAAGGGTAATGCGCGTGCGCGAACCGAATGCCAGCCAGTCTCAGGAGAGCAGCGGCCCCTGTGGGCGGGTGACGCGCCTCAGGAGTCGGAAGAGCGTTACCTCTAAGCCTCAAGCTGTTTGCTCTTGGAGCCTGCAGGAATTCGTCTTCACCACGCCGAAGGTTGAAAAGCATTTATAAAGACGCTGTTATTATCCTTGAAAAAGTAAGAAAAGGAAACAATCTATTTCTGGTATTTAAAAAGTAAACGATCTCAGGGATTCTTATCGAAAAACTATCAGCTCTATTATTTTAAATTTACATGGCACCTTTCAAACAATCTAAGGTGACACCTTTCTTTCAGAGATTCTAAGATGGTCCCCTTAAAATATCGTCTCACTGAGGGCTGCACAGTAGTTGCGATTTTGTGAGCGCAGAAGGTATACTGAAGAATAAAAAATAGTTTGTTGTTAAGTGTATTAACAAAACCCGTCAATCTACAAGGATTTAATTAGCGCCAAAGTGCCCAGCAACCAGTTAGTGTTAAAGGAGATAAGTTCAAGAGATGTTTTCTACATTCAGAAGCAGTGTGACAGAGTAGAAAAAGTGCTTTCCATGGCAAAATAATTTGGAAAACAATGGTTTATTTTTAATGTAGTATTATGAACTGATTCTTGAGAAAAGTAGATTTAACATGGAAAAATCCTCGTTAAAATGCTAAGCGTACAAAAGATGCAGAATTATATACATAAGTATGTAAAATAAATAAGCAAACATTTATTCAACACCATTAAATTATATTATAGCAGTAATATATGTTCAGTGAAGAAAATAGAAGAAAAAAAATATTTTGATGTATTTTCTTCTAGTCTTTTTCTATACCTTTTTACAACAGCAACATACAAAGGTGTGTAAACTTTTCTCAGAAAAAATATATCATGTACATCTTCCATATAATGAAACATTATTCTATGTTTACTTTTTTAATGTCAACAAATTATGTATTCTTTTAGACAAAATTTGGAGCCAGGAACTCCGCTGTGATCTAGAGGATTCAAAAGTGAGCAAGAGACAGTCCCTGTCCTCAAGGAACTAGAACTAGTCAAGGAGAAAGAGAAACAAATTATTACAATTGGGTACATTTGTATTAATTATCTATTGCTGCATAACAATCCATGTAATGGATTGAATGGTGACCCTCAAAAAGACACCTCCATGTCTGCTGTGGACTGAATTGTGTCCCCCAGATTCAGATGTTGAAGTCCTAACCCCTAATGTGACTGTATTTGGAGATAGGGCCTTTAAGGGGGTAATTAAGTTTAAATGAAGTCATAAGGGTGACACCCTAATCCAATAGGATTGGAGGCCTTATAAAAAGAGGAAGAGAGAAAGATCTATCTCTCTCTTTATGTACAGGCATTGAGGAAAGGCCCTGTGAGGACATAGTGAAAAGGTGACCATCTCTAAGCCAGGAAGAGAGCTCTCACCAGAAACCAAATTAGCCAAAACCTTGATCTTGAACTTCTAGCCTATAGAACTGTGAGAAAATAAACTTCTGTTGTTTAAGCCACCCATGCTGTATTATTTTGTTATAGCAGCTGGAGCAAACTAATGTAACGTCCAAAATCCCCACAACCTGTAAATTACCTTTTTTCCAAAGGATCTTTACAGTTGTAATTAAGGATCTTGAAATGAAGATATCATCCAGAGTATCCAGTGGGCCCTAAATCCAATGATAACTGTCTTGAGAAGAGGCACACAGCGTAAAGGAGGAGGCACTGTGACCACGGAGGCAGAGATTGGAGTGATGGTGCCACAAGCCAACAAATGCCTGCAGCCACCAGGAGCTGGAAGAGACAAGTAACGGATTGCCCTCTAGAGCCTTTGGTAGCAGTGTAGCCCTGCTGACATCTTGATTTCATTCAGACTTCCGGCCTTCAGAACAGAGAGAATAAATTTCAGTTGTTTTAAGCCACCAAGTTTGTGGTAATTTGTTACAGTCGCCATAGAAAACTAACACACCCTAATATTTAGCAGCTTAAAACAACAAACATTTATTATCTCATAGTTTCTGTGGATCAGGAATCCAGGCATGGCTTAGCAAGGTGACCCTGGCTCGAAGTCTCTCCTGAGGTTGTACTCATCTCAAGGCTCACTAGGGCCAAAGGATCTGCTTCCAAGTTCACTCAAATGATTGGTGGCAGGATTCATTTCCTCAAAGGCTGCCGGACTGAGGGCCTCACTTTCTTGAGGGCTGTTATCCAACGGCCGCCTCAGTTCCTTGCCACATGTGCCTTTCCATAACGCAGTGCACAAAATGGAGGACAGCTTCCCTCAGGGAACAAGCAAGAGAATTGAGAGAAGTTACCCAAGATGGAAGCTACAGCCTTTTAACCTGTTCCCGGAAGTGACATTCCATCATTTCTGCTGTATCCTATTCGTTGGAAGTGAGTCACTGGATCCAATCCACACTCGAGGAGGGGAGAATACACAGGGCATGAATACCAGAAGGTAGGGAGCATCGGGAGCCTTCTTAGAGCCTGCCAACCCCAGTATAAGTGCCGTGGTAGTGGTAGGCAACACATAGGAAGAAAAACATCAAAACATTAACTGGGTGATGGGATTATGGATTGTTTTTCCCGTTTTTGAATTTTCTAAACTCTCTTTAATGAGCATATATGGGTTTGACAATGAATTTAAAAATAGGAAAGCTAAATGAAAGGGAAGAAAGGAAGGGAGAAAGGAAAGAAGTGGGGGAGGATAAAGGAGAGAGGAGGAGAAAACCTGAATTGAATTTTCTGAATTAAATTTGAGTTCTGTGAATCTGCTTCAACCTGCTGAAGCTGTCTACAGAAGTATCACAAGACATAATGCCTTTTAGCTAAGAAGTTTCAGACTTGATTGAAAAAAACAATTAGCTCCAGGATGTCCTGGAGGGTGAGGTGAGGGAAAACAACAAGGATTAGGGTTGCCAGTGCTTGAGAATTGAAGAGGTGGAAATGGTTTTTCCGTGAAATCTGTTCACAGGCAGCAGAATCCCAGCAGGGCAGATACTCAGTGATCAGCTCCCTTCCTTGTGACTGAAAGGACATGAATAATAGTGTCCGGTGCAGAGCACCACCCCTCCCACAAGCAGCTGAAGCTATTTGAGCATCCGACCTCAATCAGAATTAGCTTGGAATAGGACAGGACTGAACTATGATAGAAACTTCAGTAAACCCTCCTCTGAGGAACTGGAGAGGGGCGGTGTCAGGAGATGGCATTGGGCTGACCCACATTCCCTGAACCTTCAAAACCATAGAGTAGAAGTAGCTTCTATCCCACCCACAAAGTACCCCAGACGGCCAAAGGGGGGCGCTCATAAAACTTGTACCAAAGAAATCAGAACCCCACAGGGCCCAAATAACCAATTTTATTAGAGGTTATTTTATCATGCCCTTTGGGAGTAAGCAGACCACTCTCCTGCCTTCTCTGACGTGTTTTGAGGATTCTGAACCCACTGCCTACTTCCTAAAGCCATGCTGGAGCAGGAAACCCCTCAAATGCTTCATAAGACCAAACTTTTGGGGGGCTGGTGGATTCCTTGGGGCCCCATGTGGGTTCTCAATTTCCTCAAGTTCTTCTGTTTTGGGAAGAGCAACCCCAGCACCGCAGTGACCTGGTGGCTGAAGGTCCCTCTTCAAAGAAGCGCAGTCTCTGATGCTGTCCTCTCTTGCATGTGGGTCACCCACTTCGGGAAGCAGGATAGGATCAGGATCCCTCACACTCAGGTTGGGGGCTAAGTGCTGGGGCTTGGCCAGGTGTGGGGACCAGGAAATCCTCTTCAAAAAGCTCATGCTCAGCCTTGCTGCAGCAGAGTGCAGACTCCTTTTGGAGCTGAAGGTGTCTGTGGGACAGGAAGAAGGCTGCTGCCCAGCCCCTCTGCCTTCCTCCAGCTCCAGGCTTCCTCTTCTCCTGTGTATGGGCTGCTGACATTTGAATCTGGGGGGCTCCTGAGATGCGTGCTCCTTCCTCCAGTGGTCTGCCCCAGAGTATGAGATCCTCGCTGTGCCGGGAGCCCTCTCTGCCATCTGGGAGACCCCTGGCCTGACCATTTTCCTGCTCCCGCTGTTCTCACTGGAGGGTTCTTGGACGCTTTCTTGGCCACACCAGCTACTAGATTCTGCTGCAGGCCTGGGGTTCCTGGGAGCAGGGAGCTTGGCCCTAGGAGGAGCCTCTTTCTGGACATCCTGTCGTTCTCTGAGGCCCCCTGGTGGTCTGACTCTCTTAGGCTTTTCAGGATGGATAGAAATGCCCATTGGCTCTGTCTGGTGTGGTCTTCGCTTCTCCAGAGCTCTGGCCTGCGTAGGAGGTTTTGAGCTTTTCCTTTCTTGGCGCCGAACGCTCTGGGACCTCTCTGGGGACTTAAGGCCTGGCCTGGGGCCCTGGGCCCCACAATGCCTTTCCTGCTTCCCCTGCAGCTCACAGGCTTTGTGTAACCCAGGGAGCCTCACCCCCTCAAGGGGCAGTGGGCATGGTGCTAAGAAGTTAAAGTGCAAGTAGGATTCTAGGATCTGCTGGGGGAGGCCCCACTTCAGGTGTGCAATCTTCCGCTGCATAAGGGACTCCAGGAGCAGTAGCTGGCACTTCGTGAGGACTGGCCACTTCGGCAGGATGGTGAGGGCAGTGGGAAAATCCACCAGAGCTGTGGCAGCTTGGGGGGCTTGGCCACATGAGACAGAGGGACAGGCAGAGGGCAGGCCCAGGGCAGCAGCCAAAGACTGTGGGTTGCAGAGCTGTCGAGTCAGGCCAGAGGTCTTCCCTGGAACCACTCCTTTGTCCCTTTGTCGGCTTTTCTGGAGTTTAGGTTGGGCCTGCCAGGAGGCTGGAATGACACTGTGCTTCCTGGCAGTGGCCGTGCTCTGGCTGGCCAAATGCTCTCCCTCCCCACTGGCAAGCAGGAAGAGTTCATTCTGGTGGGGGAGAGCCTTCATCTCAGGGCAGGGAGCAGAGGCCACAGCCTGTTCCTGGTCCATGGCCCCATATCCAGAGCCAGTGAGGGCTGGGGGCCCCTCACCCACAGAACAGTCAACTCGGAGATTGCCTTTAGCAGCATCCTTTCCTCTGACTCGGCCCTTGTTTCTTCCCCTTAGTACTCGAAGCCTTCCAGCATCCTCAGCTCTGCACTTTCTCTGGCTCCCTACATCCTGGATTTCTGCAGCGTCCTCATCTTCACCCTTATTCTGGCTGCCTTGCCCTTGTATCTGGATCTCTCCATCGATTTCACTTCTTAACTCTCCCTGATAATCTCCCCCAGGAGCCTGGGTCTCTTTATCATCATCACCTGTGGTCCCTCTCAGGTTTCTCTTCTCTTGGATTTGAAATTCTGCACCATTCTCACCTCCCATCTGCTCCTCTTTCTTCCATTCTGCTGAATGAGTTTCTATATCAGTTTTACTTGCTAATTCTCCCCAATTCTGTGCCTCAGATGCCTGGGCATTTGCACCATCCTTGCCTCTAATGTGTTCCTGATTTATCCACTTCGGTATGAGAATCCTTCCATTAATTTCACTGTTTAACTGATGCTGGTTTTCTTCCCCAAGTTCCTGAGTCTCTTTACCATGTTCACCTTTAACACCTCTCAGGTTTCTCTTCCCTGTTGCCTGGATGTCTGTACTATTCTCATCAACAAACTGCTCCTGATTCCTCCTTCCTGGTAGATGGGTCTCTACATGAGGTACACCTCTTAATTGTCTCTGGTTCTCTGCCTCGGGCACCAGGATATTTGCACCATCTTCATCTCCGTTCTTTCTCTGGTCTCTCTTCTCCAGTGCCTGAATTTCTGCTCTATGTTCACCTCCAATCTGGTCCTGATTCCCCCAACATGGTATCTTGAATTCTCTGCCAATTTCACTTGCTACTAGTTTCTGGTCTCCCCAGAATCGTGCCTGGATCACCACCCAATCCTCCTCTCTTATCTCCCTGAGGTTCTTCCTTCTAGATATCTGGCTTTCCCCAGAATCCTCACCTGTTTTCAGGCCTTGATTTCCCCACCCCACTTGAAGTTCATGTCTTAGTTGTTTCTGGATCTCTACCCTAAATGCTTGGACCTTCCCAGCTTTCTCATTTCCGTTTTGATCCTGCATCTCCCACCCTGGTGTCTGGATCTCTGTAACATTCTCACTTTGAACGCATTCCTGTTTTCCCCACCCCAGGGCTTGGGTCTCTAGGCCATCCTCTTTTTTCACTTCCCCCAAGTTCTCCCTCCCAGATATCTGAATTTGCACAGCATTCTCACCTCCAACCTGGCCCTTTCTTCTCCTCTTTTCTGCCTGAATTTCTATACTAGTATCACCTTTAATCTGGTCTTGTTTTCCCCACCCTGGCAGCTGGGTCTCCCCACCATTCTCAGTTCCAGTCTGGCCCTGCTTCCTCAACCCTTGGGCCTGGGTCTCTCCTTCATCCTCTCCTCTGGCTTCTTTCTTATTCTTCTCAAAAGACTGGGTCTCTATAGCATCCTTATTCCTACTCCTATCCTGGGTCTCCCACATTGGCGTTTGGGTCTCTGCATCAATTTTACATCTTAACTGTTTCTGTTTCTCTCCTCTTTGTGCCTGAGTTTCAGGAAGATTCTCACCTCCAGCATCCCTCCGATTTCTCTTCCGTAGTTTCTGACTTTCAGCTGTATTCTCAACTCTCACCTGGTCTTGATTCTCCCACCATGGTGTCAAGATCTCTCCAACAGCTTTACTTATTACTAGTCTCTGTATCCCCAACTCCAGGACCTTAGGCTCTGCCTTGTCCTCCATCCCAAAGTTTATTGGGAGTTGCCTTCCAGATGCCTGACTTTCCCAAGCATCCTCTCCTCTTCTCTCTCTCTGGTTCACCCACCCTGGAGCATGGGTCTCTCTACTATCCTCTCTGCCTAGTGTCCGGCTTTCCCTCCCTGGTGCCCAGGCCTCTCGTGGGCAGCGCCAGGACTTCCAGATGGGCATTCCCACTTGTTGGTTGGAAGGAACCGGTAGGAACTCTCTGGAACAGAACTGCAACCTCTGGGCTGATGGGAGGTTTGGGCGAGAGGCCATGGAGGTGGGGTGGCATCTCATGTCGACAATATGCTCCAGTGGTACCGGTTCTTCTGAGGAGTGGACCAACAGCTGCTCCATCCCTTGGCACGTGTCCAGGGCAGGGGGCAGTGGCTTGAAAATCAGGTGAGTCTGGTCATCACTACGACACCAGGGTACCTGCCACGCTTCCCAAGAACTGTCCTGAGCTAGCATACAGGTGCTTAAAAAGGAGGTGGTGCAAAAGATGTGTTCCAAAGGTGGATAGGCATCCCAAGGTAAACCTTGACCTGGGTGCTGACTAGAAAGCAGATGTTGGGTCCATGAATCCTGGTGGCTCCTCCAGTATTCCCCTCTCTTATTTGGGGCCCATTGTTGGGCATCCAGGCCCCTGAACTGGCCAGGACTGAAGGAGAATTCAGGGGTCAGCCCAAAACAAGTGTCATGTCTCATGGAGGGCACTGCCCCCTTCTGCGATGGCACCTGTAGGTGAGAACAGAGAAGCAAAATTTTGCATTCACATTATCTCATCTAATCCTCAGATCAGGATTGTAATCCCCATTATCCAGATGAGGATGCTGGGGCTCAGGAATGGGGAGTCAGTTCTCTTAGGGAAAACAGTATTCATTCAAGAAAGAAAGATAAAGAGTTTACTCCAGGCCAGGCACTGTTCTAGGTGCTGGCGGTACCAGCATGAACAAGACAGAAAACCTCTTTGTTGGGAGCTGTCTTTTATACATGGAAGACACAATAACTAAGTATACAACATAATGTTAGGTGTTGAAAAGTGTTTTGTTGGTTTGTGGTTTTTTTGGCCACGCTGCATGGCATGAGGGATCTCAGTTCTCAGACCAGGGATCAAACCCATGCCCCCTGCAGTGGAAGCGTGGAGTCTTAATCACTGGACTGCCAGGGAAGTCCCCTTGAAAAGTGTTCTAATGGAAATAAAAGCAGAGTGGGAAATAAAAGCAGAGTGGGAATGGGGTTAGCTCCTTTAGACATATTGGTCAGAGAAGGCCTCTCAGAGGAGGTGACATTTGAATGGAGACCTGAATGAAGCAAGGGACAAACCAAGTGACATCCGAGGAAAGAGCATTGTAGGCAGAGGAGACATTAAGTGCAAAGGCCCTGAGGATGGAACTGGGTCATTTGTATAAGAACAGCTAGGAGGCCTGTGTGGCCAGAATGGAATGAGTGAGTGATGAAGACAGCGCTGGGAGATGAGGTCAGAGAGGAATGCAGGGCAGATTATTCTGAGCCTTGGAGTTGTGGTTAGGAGTTGGATTTTATTCTGAGTTTGACTGGAAGTGTATCCATCAGAGCCATTGCAGAGTCTTGAGTGGCAAAGTCCTGTGAACTGTTTTTTTTAAAGTTGGTTCTTGCTCATGAGCATAATGTTAGGCTTAAGCCAGGTGCAAAAAAAATACTTACTGTATGATTCCATACAGACAAAACTAGTCTATGCTATTAGAAATCAGCACAGTTGTGTCTGCAACCTTCTGGGATGCTGATAGTGGTCTATTTCTTTTTTAAAAATTTTTTTCTTATTTTTTTAAAATTTTTATTTATTTATTTTTGGCTGTGTTGGGTCTTTGTTGCTGTGCGCACGCTTTCTCTAGTTGCGGCAAGCGGGGGCTACTCTTCATTGCAGTGGCTTCTCTTGCTGTGGAGCAGAGGATCTAGGCGCGCGGGCTTCAGTAGTTGTGGCACGTGGGCTCAGTGGGCTCAGTAGCTGTGGCTCACGGGCTCTAGAGCACAGGCTCAGTAGTTATGGCGCACGGGCTTAGTTGCTCTGCGGCATGTGGGATCTTCCTGGACCAGGGCTCGAACCCATGTCCCCTGCCTTGGCAGGCAGATTCTTAACCACTGCGCCACCAGGGAAGTCCAGTGGTCTGTTTCTTAATCAAGTGCTGCACCTGGATGTGTTCAGTTTGCAAAAATTCATTGATCTATACACTTATAATCTGTATATGTATATTCCCTTGGATTAACATTTTTTAATATAAATTTATTTATTTATTTATTTTTGGCTGCGTTGGGTCTTCGTTGCTGCATGCAGGCTTTCTCTAGTTGCATCGAGTGGGGGCTACTCTTTGTTGCAGTGCGTGGGCTTCTCATTGTTGTGGCTTCTATTGTTGTGGAGCACAGGCTCTAGGCGCGCAGGCTTCAGTGGTTGCAGCATGCGGGCTCAGTAGTTGTGGCTCGCGGGCTCTAGAGTGCAGCCTCAGTAGTTGTGGTGCATAGGTTTAGTTGCTCCACGGCATGGGGGATCTTCCCAGACTAGGGCTCGAACCCGTGTCCCCTGCATTGGCAGGCAGATTCTTAACCACTGCGCCACCAGGGAAGTCTGGGTTAACATTTTTAAAAAGAGAAAGAAGAAATTCATTCTGTTGGCTGCGTGGAGCACTGACGATGGTTGGGTGAGAGAGAAAGCAGGAACCAGGCAGAAGGCAGTACCTACAGTCCAGGTGAGCCCTGAGGGTGGCTTTGCCCAGGAGGGTGAAGTGAAGTTTTAAGAAGTGATCAGATTCGGGGCTTCCCTGCTGGCGCAGTGGTTGAGAATCTGCCCGCTAATGCAGGGGACACGGGTTCGAGCCCTGGTCTGGGAGGATCCCACATGCCGCGGAGCAACTGGGCCCATGAGCCACAACTACTGAGCCTGCGCGTCTGGAGCCTGTGCTCCGCAACAAGAGAGGCCACGATAGTGAGAGGCCCGCGCACCGCGATGAAGAGTGGCCCCCGCTCGCCACAACTAGAAAAAGCCCTCGCACAGAAATGAAGACCCAACACAGCCAAAGTAAATAAATAAACTAAAAAAAAAAAAAAAAGAAGAAGAAGTGATCAGATTTGAGATATGGGTTGCAAGTAGAGCCCATAGGACTTGCAGGTGGATTGATCCTGAGGAGTGAGGGAGAGAGAAGTCCAGGGTG